GAAAATTTGTCTCATTGTATCCTGTTTTTCGTTCAAACTTCGTACTGAGTCATTGGAACAAACAAAACTTTTTCGTTTACAATAAATTAAATAAGGACAAACAGACGGATGTATTGAGAGGAATGTGACTTTATTCAGTCGTTTTATATGAAGTAAAACGTTGCGGAAATCAAAATTTAAAACAGGAACGATTTTTCATAACAAAGAGTAACTTTACTTATTTTTAACCAAGTTTCTATTCTTTTAATAACTTAACAAAAGTAAATTTTTAGTTCGTATGCATCCTGCTTTGTGCTCAAATATACAGGCACCAGAAGTAATTAGAATTGAAATATTTGTCTTGCACCACAACACGGGCGAGATTGAGCTAAAAAAATATGTGTTTTTAGAAGTAATTAACCCAAAACGTATATAAACACCTAATATTATGTTATTGCGATAATATAATATGGATAATTATGGGCCGTGGTCGATAGTATGTCAACGATGACATTATTATCCTATAACACCCGTGGTGCATTCAACGCTAAATGTCCTAGTAGTCAGTGGAACAGAATTTAGATAATGTTAATCATCGTAACATTACCATAAATGTGACTGAGCTGGAAATATAATCTAAAATGTTTTAATAAATGTTATATATAAAGCGTTTTAGCAGAACCTCACACTTCGCTCTGCTTCAATAAACACCAATTTGATTTGTCCATTCTTAAAGTTTGGTTCCTATCTAGACTTTCTTTATTAAGACTTAGACCTTGTAAAGTATTTAGAGTTAATAATAATTACACAATGGGATTTATCTACTATTTCCGGTTTTGTGCTTTCAATGAAGGATGAAGTTATCAACAAAAATGATTATAATATAGTTGTCAAAAATATTTTAAACTATAAAATATAGAACGTCCCATTAAAAAAAATTGGGTAACCAGGTATTTTTTTCTGTGTATTTCTTTCCAAGCATTGAAGAATTATTATTTACTTTCATTTCTACTAAGAATTTGATTGATTTTGTGTGTTTGTTTAAAGCTATTTGTTGTCAGTTTGAATTAAATGAATTTGTCTGTGTATGTTCGATATAATCATATTTTTACATAACATAAACTTATTTTACTTTTGTCCATTAACCAAATGACGCACGCTCGGCCTGTTGTAGTATTCTAATTTTATTCCAAGTCCACTCAAAGACGGTTTCTTTTGCTTGCGGTTACTTTGTAAAACGTAAAATGCAAGTCATAGAATAATTACTTAAAAAGGCTAATCGAAGCTAAACTATTGAAAAACGACTGTTTACAATTATGGTATTTTCCAGAAGTGCTCGACATTTTAACTCGTGAAGGACATTAAAAGGGAAGAAACGAGATTTTCCTTTGTACTTTCTTTTTTTGTAACTACAATGAATTGTTAGGAAACTACATTTAACTACTTTGTTTGTTGAGAAACTTAAAACTTGTATATTACAACAATTGTATTGTAAAAAATATTTTAAACATATCTTCTTAAGCTAAATCTTATCCATTAGTGGATTTTACAAACAAGGAACCATTGTTATATGAAGTTACTGATTGTTAAGCAATAACCGGAATTTAATTCTATTATACTTTATTTATTCATTACAAAAAACTAATTCTGTAAATAAGTACTGTTTTGTTGTTCTTAAATTAATGCAAATAAGGCGTTTTCCATATAAAATTAATTATTTATGTGGTTTCGGTCCAGTCAACGCTGATTAAAGCATATAAACAAATAATTATTCATACACTGTGCGAATGCCAAACATCATTGCTTTGCACTTCGAATTAGCCTCCAAACTTAAAAGTTTTACATTCCAACTAGCGTCGAAAGTATTTTATTTCATACACTGACTGTTAAATAAAATAGGACTACTGACATTGATATTGACATTGACACTGAAATTGATGTTGATATTGATATTTACATTGATATTGATAGATATTGATATAGACGTTAACACTGAAGTTGATGTTGATGTTAATGTTGATATTGATATTGATATTGACGTTAATATTGAAGTTGATATTCATATTGATGTTGATGTTGATATTTATATTGACATTAATATCGATATTGATATTGACATTGATATCGCTATTCATATTGATATTAATTTTGATGTTGATATTGATGTTGACGTTGATTTGATGTTGATGTTGATGTTGAATTTGATAGTTGATGGGATTCAAAATTATGTAACAGTCAATGTTCTCTAATAATAATTGATTAATTCTATAGCTTACACTTTCACTTTAATTTAAATATTAATAGCAACTTAAACGAAAAGGAATATTATTTAATCAGTGGAACAAGCCTCATAAACAATAACAGGTTATGTATCTAAAAACTTTGGTTTTAAATTTTTGTCTTAATATTTCTCATAATTGTTTTTACTAATTTTATCAATTTTTTACCCTGCCTTTCCCTCGCAGGCTAGAATATCTATCCACTATACAGGGAAACTCTACCAGATGATAAAAGAGACAATTGGAATGAGGTATTGAAATTAGAAAAAATATTACATTATCTGAAATATATCTGAGGATGTTTGGATGTTTGGATGATTGATGAAACGTCGACAAATTATAAGATTATATAGGATATAATTCATTAAGTTAGTATACAAATCTCTTCACCAGTGGCGGAGGTAATAAGAGTTCTGTGTTCTGCATTTAATTCCGTTTACATATTTCTAAAAAAATATGACTTCCATTTTTTTCGAAAAACGAGGCAGTTTTGGGTTACTATTTTTTAAATTTAAAATAATATTTGAATAAATTGAAAATAATGTCGTAACTAATAATTTCACAAAGAAAATCATTGTATTTTTTCTGTATGAAGTAACTGAAATACAATATAATCATCATAATCCATTGACGCAAGTGTTTTGAAATATATGAGACATAGAAACCCTTAAAAATTTTAATATTGGTACGCCAATGATTTTATTTACAATTTAAAATCGTTTTTCTAACAAAAAGTTCCTTATTCCTGAGTTATTTTCTAACTACGATACTTATTTTAAATTGTAAAAAATAACTCAAAAATATCTCGTTTTTCGAGGAGTAGTAACAGTATTTCTCGGATTTCTTTACCAATTGCCGAATTTTTGTTCTTAATTTTGATTTAAGTATCGAATTCCTAAAGTATTCTGATTTTTAAACATTCTTAAATCAACGTTGACTTTGACCCCCTTGGAAAGGTTATTTAATCGAATTTCGGTAAATCAATTCGAACGCGATAAGTAACGAATTATTTTTATTTTATCAATATCAGCCTATTGAACTGTGACAGTAAATAAATTTCTTTTGGATGCAAATATTATCTGCTTTGACCTCCCCGTTATTAAGTTTTTCGAACTGAAAAATATTTTCAGGAGAAGGTTGCCCTTAAAAAATTTTAACCAAAAGATAAAACAAAATTAGAATGATATTTTACTATAAACGAACGAAATTATTATTATGTTATATTATGTTATACATATCATAGTCTGAAATTAACTGAAAACTAGTGTCAATACTTTTCTCAATTCCTATATTAAAATAATAATCTTTATAAATAAATAAGACTTAATTATATAGTTGGAAGAATTTGTTCACTATAACTGAAATTGCTAGCTTTTAAGGAACATTTATATTAAATTTATAGTAAATTTAGTTTTATATAAATGTACTACATATAATTTAGATTCTAGATACTAGAAATCAGATTTCAAAAATCTGGTATTAACTTTTCTACAAAAACACCAGCGCATTCGCCATAATTGTAAATTCTCCTTCTAATAATTTTTTAAAACTATATATTTTAAATAATAAACGGTTTCTCAGTAATTAAGAAAAAAAACACAAACAGCTTAGATATACAAATACATACAAACATATACAAACGTATACCTATCGACAAATATTAGAAATTCTTCTTATTTACACCCTCTAATTTAAAAAAAAATATTACTTTATGTTATGCACAGTTCTAATTTTATTTATTCTGAACTTGACACTTCACTGGATTATATTAAAGGTAAAATTTGCCGCAGTAAACAAAAACCAATTATTACATAAACAAAAAGGTGTAAATAAACAACAGAAAAAAAAACGTCAAGTAAATCATATTAAAAACAATGGCACAATACGTGCCAACAGGGTCAAAGCATTGCATACAAAATGCAGGCGTTAATTGTATCTAAAAAATGCCGGAGAGATAAAAAGTAGCTGTTGAGAAACTAGACAGAAAACAAACACAATCGAAGTTATGTAATTTCCCAGTACGGGAACACTATATTTAGCAAGCAAAAATAAATATTTTCATTTTAATCGAATCCGCGAAGGAGTAAAGTGTGAACGATTTGGTTATTTTAAAGAGAATCAAAATAATTATTACGTGCATCATAATCATGAAAATATATAGTGAAAAAAATAAATGCAGGAGTGATATACTTCAACAGTACCATACGGAAAAAATATTGTTATTTATCAACTACAATTTGTCACAATTTCAAATAATATTGTGTCAAAGTTTGACACAACTTGTAGCTTTAATTTTCACGATAATGTTTTTTCTGTGTAAAAATAAATCAGAGAAGCAAGTTATTAACATTATTCTTCAATTTAATTATTCAGTTTTAATCAATTTCAGTCAGAACTTGAGCTAAATTCTGCCTAAATTGGCCATCAAATTAAATGTCTCCAAATTGCCAAGCCGATGTAATAAAATTAAACCATCAACCCTTTTAACCCCAATACCTGCAACAGGTTAATTTCGAATCCAAACCGACTTCCTGCATTACACCAGACCAACATCCTTCATCGAGTCTCAGCAATCTCGTCACTCTTGCCAATCCCAACCTTAAAGGTCGAAACACGCATTCCCACCTACCACAGAACACCAACAGAACTATTTTAATCCACAAACTAATGAACCAAAACAAAGCTAGTATAAATACATTAAGCGTGACAATTGCAACTTAGTTCTGTACGAGCCTGCTTAGATAGATTTAATCATGAACACGCTAGGAGTTCTCGTCCTTACATTCGCCACAGCCCTTTGCGACGACGCGCTGATAACGCCCTTGTACAAATACAGGTACGAGACTGAGGATGTCATGCAGACCGCCGAGACGTCGATACCCCTGCACGGATACCACGTGGTTGAAGGTGGATACTACCCCACGGGAATAGGTTATGGGAATCATTTCGGTGGAGGATACGGAGGCGGCTTCGGGGGAGGCAGTGGAGCTGGTTTGGGATATGGAGGCGGGATCGGGCACATAGGTGGAGTTGGCCATGGAGGTTATGTGGGAGGTGGAGCAGGATTTGGAGGTTTTGGAGGAGGGCAGGCCATTGAGAACAGCGCATTCGGTGGAGGCAAGAAAAATATCGAAGACGAGCACTTTGAAAAGGCGTTTGGAAAGAAAGGTGAAGGGTTCAATCATGGAGAGGAAGGCTTCTCCAAGGGAGAAGTCGTCGCGAAGGATGTGAAAGGAGATTCTGGTTATTACAACGAGCAGGAGGGTGGCAAGAAACTGGTTGAGGAAGGGAAGGAGTACCATGGAGGACAGCACTTTGACAAAGAAGGTAAAATTTGATTGATTTAATTTATTTCCAGTATCCAATTTTCCTCAAAGATTTTTTATCGAATGAATCTACAACTAACCTATATTTTGTCATAGGTTATTGTTTTTTTATCATAAAGCACCAGGAAAATTCCAAAAGTCCAAAATGCCTCTTATTCACAGACTAAATAAGCTAAACTACTGAAAAAATACAAAAAAAAATATGGTAAAATGTAAATTTGAATTATTTTGTATGCTACAAGAATGTAACTAAATAGTTTGATCAAATTTTAATAAGAAATTCTTCGTGAAAAAATTTTAAAAAATTCCTATACAGCGTGTTCAAAATTAATGAAAGCAGTAGTTTATTTAGTAATACTCTGTTTCATTAATACATAGAGTGATTGAATAATTATTATGTTTGTAAAATGTTTTGGCATTTGTTAATGATATAAGCAAAATATTATTGTCTCATATTCTCTATTCTGATTTAATACTAGTTCTAAATTAAAATAAAAAAAATGATGGTTTGATCTAGAAGAAGTATTGTTTTAATGGAAAATTTGATTAAACGTAAAACATTATTTAATTCTTCGAAAATGTGTTCCGTTAAAATTTTTAATAATTTCCAAATTATGATAGCTACAAGCAAAATATTTAGCAGTACAAAAGATATAGGTTAGTTAAATACATAATAACCATTACTTTTATACAGGGTGTTTTCTATTGACATTAACTTTTATGTGATATTTCTAATTATTTTCGCCAATTTTGGAAATATCCACTTATTTTATAAACATTGCTGGAAAAGGCTTTAATATATATTACAAAATATAAAAAATACAATCGAACAAAAAATATAGTAGGTAGTAATAAAATGCAAATTTTGTTTATGTTTTAAAATATACAGGATTTATTGAAAATGATTGGGCAAACTTTGATGGAAAACTATTAGTAACAAATTAACAAAAAAGTTCTTTAGAAATGCTTCGATTTTGAGATACAGGGTGATCAAAATAAACGAAAATATACAGTGTACTTTAATAATGTTTTATTGTAACGTGTGATGGTAACAGTTTAAATAATTAGGTGGATTTCACAGGGTCTAACAACACTTGACGAGTGTATAATTCAAGAAACATATAAATCTTAAAAAAAAATTAAATAAATTTGGAACGAATACATTGAAGACGAATTTTTTGAGACAAAACGTCCGAATCTGGTTCGGGCTGAGGCAGTACAGTATTGGGCGTCATGAAGGCTTGCAAAAAATGTTATAAAATTTCCAGGGTCGTATTTAAAAAAATGAAGTTGATGATGGTCTTGGAGAGACGAAACGTTACACATAAAAATTGATTATGCCATTCGATACAGGGCAAAAAGTTGCCATGAGAGTGTTCTTCTTTTTTCAATATCACCTCAAAAAAGGCTGAAATTAAACAAAAACGGATTTCCAAAATTTCGTTTTTTTTCAAATATTTCGAAAACTAATCATGTTAGCTTTGGTTTTTTATTTACATTACAATACAGTCAAATCAGAAATAGTTTAAAAAAAAATTGATATTAAAATTACTACGTCAGTCTCTATTTGCAATATACTTATCTGAAAGATGCCAATAAAATAAAGTTGCTTAACCTTTTTTTTTTGTAACATAAAACAATTGCTTTTTCAATGTAATATCCATTATCTCGAACACGAAGCGTTTTTTTAGCACAAGTTTAGGTTGAGGAACTTTTTCTTTTAATTTGTATCGCAAAATCCACCATTGACCAAGTAAGATAGTTGCACCTTGTATAGATACGCAAAATCATAAATATCTCAGGCAAACACTATAATGTTTTTACATTGTAGTGTCTACTATTATTTATTTTGTAATTTTCATATTTCTTTATGAAATAATTATTGAATGACTTACTTTTTATTAGATTATATCAGATTTATTAGATCTATAGCAAAATTAGGCCTATTATCTCTGTATCGATGCACTACGAATTAAAAAATAACTGCACCGATCATTGCTGATTATATTTGATTGTCTGAATATACTAAACAACAATAATAAGCTAAAAATATTGACCTTGACCTGGCACAACAATCCCAAAAAAGCGCGACTTTGAAAAAAAATCATTTTTCTGAGTGTTAGTTTATGAGATACATTATTATTATTAATATACACAAACCAAGGTTATGATGCAATAAACCATGCATTAAGGATAAAAGTATCCACCACGGCACCAATGTGAGGCATAGACAGCAACTAATAGATCATAACTCCAAGAAGCCAAACCGCAAAATGCTTGTTTTTATTGTTACCAATGCCACTTCAATAAGACACGGCTGGCTTTTTTGCAACCACGCGCCGGCATTGGTTTTTCCAGTGGATTTTAAGATTTGATACAGGACGTCTACGAAAATTGTTTCGCTCTAATTAATTGAACTATTCTACGGGGTGTGACCGAAGTATCCGGTCGTGTGTTCATGCAAGATATGGGGACGGTAAATCTGCTTTAATTAACTGAGTTCATTTTTAATAGAAGTTTAGACACAAAACATCCAAAATTAACTAAAGGAAAGTGAACAAATGAATAAACGGCTTGCAATAACAACAATTTTCAAAGATATGAGTTTCTGAGATTTAATTTTATAGATGGGATTGTTTGTTTAAAAAACGTAAACAAATAAGGTGGGTTATACATTTTTTTTCACCCATACTGTTTTCCCGTAATTAATGACACATTTTTTTTTATGCAAACTTTAATAACAAGATAAGCAAAAATAAATTAATGTTTTATAAATGATACTTACTGTTTTTTTGTACTGTAGGTAGTATAATTTGTTTACATTTTTTATTATCATAAATACACACACCAAAATAGTCATTCATAATAATAGTTCTATAAATATATTTCTTATATGCATTGAATAATACAATATATTATATTTAATTTAAATATATGAAAAAATAATAAATTTTTATTGGAAAAATTTTTCTGTATTACTTCTCATTTAGAAGTTATAAATAATGTCGTCCTAGGGTCTCAAATAAAACAGACAAATTTCTCTAATAAAAGTTTATTAGAAAAAAGAGAGCTTTTTAAAAGGGAAAAAAATTGGGTTTGTTTCTGGAAAAAATATAATTATAATTTATAAATTACACTCAATTACACAATTATACACAATTAAATGACACTCAAATTTTATTTAAATTTTTTGTATCCTCACGGTAGGCCCATACTATCGAATTTGAGACACCCTATATATTATATAGGGTGTCTCAAATTCTCTGTTATTATTCTAGATGCAAAAAATCTTCAAATACTGGATATCAAAAAAATAACAAAAGTATTGTTTTCAAAGAAACACCCCTTACATTCAAATTCACCGTAAATTCTACGGTGGCATTATTCGATTTGAATCTCAATACGGTGTTGGGATATTTAGAAAATTCATTAAAATTTTCATAACACAAATGCTGCAAATGTGCGAAATGTTCAATGCTTGTGTTTTCTATTGGCATGTCTAATTCTACAAATTACATATTGGATATATTTTCTTCAATTTTCCGAATACGACACAGTGTATTTAGTTTTGTATAAATTTCTATTTTCTCTAGCTTTTGTTTTTAATTATAAAAACTAATTGAAAAAACATTTTCATCCACAACTAAAAACATTTTTCTAATTATTTGTAAGCGGTAGATTAATCCAGTTATTTAAACTATTGTAAACACGAAATTTTCCATCTGAATAACAAATAATTCTAAGAGCTCAAAAGTTAAACATATCTACACATCGTTGATTGTTACATTGAATTTTGGAAACTTCTGGAAACTCGACATCTCGAATGGAATGAACAGAAACAAGGTTATTATAATGAAAAAGGGATTGAGCAACACTAAACTTCGCTTTAACTTTCAGATTAAAAACAATAAATTTATTAGTTACATTCAGATGAAATTTTCTTCGGTTTGTAAACAAGGTCAAAATGTTTTATTTTCCATTATCTCACTTCCGGATAGAAAGAATAATAATAGGTTCTCCAGGATGAATTATGGTAATTGCAATTGTTTTTTTAAGAGAAAGTTACGCGTCTGTTTCAAGGGCAATGTCAACAAAACCTTTTCGATTAGCCGCATTTAGTCCTTGCCTTGTTTGTTTTTACTTTTCTTTTATGTACAGTCTAATTAGGCTAAAGGATCATGGCACTAATTCAAGAAGGCTTAAAAGGCCGAGGATGGGGGTTAATTTTTTTAGAATAAAATTTCTTAGTCCAAATCATCTTTCTCATTTTTTCATATTAGATTGATATTTTAGTAAATATCCGTCACAAAACTTAGGTTAGGTTCATTCTGCAGTATGAAACTAAATAATTTTCTTGACGCATGACTTGGCAACGTTCCAATTAGTTGATACGCTTGCCCTTTTGACAGTTCTATGCATCATTTGGAGAATTCTAACTTCATTACTTCCTTACTTAATAAATATTTAAATTATCTCTTTCATCATACGTCAATTACTTATTTGCTGAAAAATGATTCCAGGTCAGAACGAGGCCCAGCAAACCGCGAAACAGGGCCACAAGAAGGGCCACAAGATCAAGGGCTTCAAGAACTTCCACCACAAGGACGAATCCGGCAAGACCGAGGAGTTCTACGACGAGGAACACGACGAAGGTGGCAACTACGCCTTCAAGGGTGAAGCGGGTAGTTTCGGTGAAAAAGCGGCTTCAGCCTTTAAAGGAGAAGCCCAGGAAGGCAAGTATAAGTCCGGAGAAGCCAAGAAGGAAGGTTTCTACGAGAACAAATACCTGAACGACAACGCCAAAGGCAACGAAGGTAAATACGGAGAAAATAAGTACGGGGAGAACGCTCAGTTGTACGCCTTGAAGAAGGGCGCTGACGAGCAGAGCCTTTTGGGTCACCAAGAGTCCAGCAAGTTCTACAAACACCATCCCTTCGTTGTGCCTTTTCGCAATTACTAGAGAGATAAGATAGAATGAGATAACGGAACTGGAAGCAGTGTTAGTGTTGACGACGGACTGGATATTTATTTTTTTTATGTTTAGCGAGTTGTTACCACGAGTATTATTTAAATCCTAGGAAAGGAAGCGTTTAAATAAATGATCAGTTGCTTGAGTTATCTTGGCAGTGATAGTGATATTGAATTACTCTTAATTGTACTTTTTTTTTTTTAAAAATAAAGAAAAATGAATTTCGAATATATCTACTTCTTTAGTTTATAAGTAATCGTATATACAGAGTGCCCACTTACAACTATAAGCAGATTTATAATTTTTTTTTAGTTTTTGTCTGAATTAGTACAATTTGTTTCAAGAAATGAAAAGCTTCATTAAATTCAATGGAATTTAATCTATGAACAAACCTTTCCTTTTCAAATACAAGGCATTTTTTATTGAAAAATCATATTAACAAAAGTCCGAAACATCCAGCAGGCCTATATTCAAATTTTAAAGTCGGTAAAAATAATTGTAGAGACAAGTAATAGTTTTCCTGAAGATATTTTACTTTGCGAAATGGAAAAAAGTAGTTTCAATCTAATTCAGTGTTATTGAACTTCATTACAATTAGATCTTCATTACAATTAGATCTACGGACTGTAATATTTACTAGTCTTCAGAAATTCTTTTCTAATTACGTGCGTTTGTAAAATTAAATTGATAACACCTTTGAAAAGATGGAAATAGGTAGGTAGTAGGATGTATTGCAACGCCTTTACTAATCTCATAATTTTTTTTTTGTGTCCAGAATGCTGTTTTATCACGATCCAGAAATTTTAACCCGTATAAACCGTAACGAAAAAATTGTAGATTAAAATAAAGAAGAAATAAAGTGTGTTGAGTATAAACCACCTGTGACCTTTTTTATTCAGAATAAAACATTTCTAAAAATAGAAATAAAGCACTTTAAGCAGTTGGTATAATTTCGTTGAAAAATGTTTGAAATCGTTGCAACAGATGGCGCCACAGTTAACACTTTATTATTCATTAACGTCTATACTGTCTACAAATGCAACAATATAACACAAGAAAATATTTCCCAATGTTCCTAAAACAACCGCGGAACTAATCCCCTGTTATTAACCTTGAATTCGTGTAGACGATATTCAAATTGACTTAAAATAATGAATGGCGACGTAAGTATCACAGCTTGTCCAGAAGAGCACCACTACTTAAAATTTTTTTAATAGCATCAGAAATAGTGTAGAAATAAAAAGAACACAAACCTAGCTAAATCGCATTTACCATTATTTTGACTGTTTTAAGAGAGTTACTTCGATTAAAACATCAAGGTACCTAGTGATTGGTGGTATAAAAAATAATTTGTTACACATTTCCTTTTGCTTTAATTTTTTGTTTCAATAAAATCTCTTCCTATATATTGTTAAATTGAAATAGCTTTTTATGTAGGTGCTGAAAAGTGATTGTACTTGAATATAGCATTCATTTCCATATTATTTTTTTCACAATCACAATCTTCATTGAATCATATTACTTTGATACATTCGCAATTTTGTCAACCAGAATCACTATAACTTTAAATAATAAATAATATTTTACACTATCCTCTGATATGATATTACAATTGGTATAACTCCGATATACAGGGTGGTTCAGGATTAAGTCGACAAACTTAATGGTTTCAGGGGAGACAAAAAGGCTTATTTGACTCGCATATACTCGAGACTAAGACCAATTTTAATAGGTACTATATTTTTTAGGTTTTATGAGGAACGTCTTCCTAAAGTTTATCAACAGTATCCAAAAGCACCCTTCCGAAAAATCAATTTTGCCATGAAACTATAAGAGTTAGGAAAAAAGTGAATGTACACTTTTTGTCAATAACAAACTGTTCTATCTAAAAACAGCATCATTTTTTATTTTCAGTAGGGCCGTATTAATTTTTTTTATAATTTAATGAGTTTGAGTCTCTATAACTCCGCCACTGGTTGCATGCGGGACTTCTACTTCTATGGAAAAATGGTATCTTATAAGAAGTTGTGTTATGCCAAATTTGGCTTAAATAGCCTTCTTCATTTAGAAATTATTTAAAAAATTTGAATTTTTTAAAAAAAACGCCCTATATTTCGAAAATGAAGCGTCTCTGGAAAAAAATTTATACTTGATTTTTTTGCCTTAAAGTTTGTCGACTGAATCCTGAAACACCCTGTTTATATAAATATAATATAATCCCAAAACCAGATATAAAAGTCCTACAAAGCAATATAATAAATTTGATTCATGGAAATTATTTTTTTTTTATGTCAAGTATGCACCTTTTGCCACTAATATTACATTCTACTTTATTTCCATCCAACATTTTCATTCTTCGTGATTCAGTTCTCGTCACAGACCAATAGCCGCCTTGTAACTTCGCATTTGCTCCTAAGGTTTTTGTCTTTAATAACGCAATAATTTTTGCTTCCGTTTTACCTTTTTTCAACGCTGAAACGCAATTCATACGGCTTGTAACGATTCAATTTAATAAACACATTATTTTGAGGACGTAGAAAATTACATGAAATATCATAATTTTCCGCATACCAGACGTTTTAACGACCAAGGTCGATTTTTCTGTATGTCCTACGTGACATTTCTAGCTTCGTTAAGATTTAGACTGCAGATTTTGGTTGTTTCGGATGAAAACCTAGAAATAAATGGTGTCATGGTCTATTAAACATAAGATAATATTTTTTCTCTGTTTTATTTTTTAGATCTATGTTTAAAATTATTTCTTATAAGCAGGGTCGTTTATTTTTACCGAAATGAAGGGCAATTACAGTTATTATTTGCGAAAATTTCGCAATCTTCGAATACTAATAACTTTTAGAATAGACCTTTAAGTTAATAAGGCATTGGGACGAGAAAGAAATGTATTGTTACAAAAATCAGGGGAATTAAGTTCATAAAAAAAATTAAATGTAAATATTTCTGTTCTAAAAAACTTCTATTCATTCAAGAACATGTTATAGCAAAAAAGAGCACAGAGTATTGAACAGTGTAATTATTATACATATTTCTACATTATTAGCGGTATTTTTTTTAAAGGACAGTCATATTTCTCTTCGTTATCCAACAAATGTATCTTTCTCTAATGAAACTTTGGATATTTCTGTATTGTCACGGACAAAAGGTGATTTTACTTCTTGTGACTTTAAAATTATGGTGAATGAAAGGTAAATGCAATCCATCAATACGGAACCTACCAATGAGGATATACCTCTTCTAAGGACACTATATTTCTGGTAAACCCTTTCCATTGAAGAACAGACAAATTTTTTAGAACAAAATTATTCATAAATTGGTAAAATTGCGTTTTGTAATACTGGAGTAACAGGAATTACTAATCTGATTAATCATATCCTGAGTGAATGGTTCAATTGAAAATTAATTACATTTTGTAGCAGTCACCTCGTCATGGCTCATTTCGATGTGTCTCCGAATAAATCGATCCTGTGACCTAAATAAGCTTTAATACTTTTATAAAAATACCACAGAATATATGGATTCTAATAATTGTGTACTTAGAAATGTTAAATAATTGATTTGTAAACAGTTCAATACTTCTCTTGGTTGTAGCTTTGTTGCCTGATGATGTGCAGTAATATTGTTCTCGAAACTAGTAGAAAAATGAAAAATTTTCGTGAGACAAGTCGTATTTATCATTCTTTATGAATATCTAGCCACATGGGGTTGACCTGTATACAGCCTAAAAATAAAACCAAACACCAAATAAAAAAACTGTAACTGATTAAATAAAAGTAAAGTTAAGTATATAATGTCCCTTACTTCCTAATATCTCATATTCTATGTCAAATCGAACTATACAAGGTGTAAGAAGTTGGACTGCCATTACTTCAGAATGAGATAGAGTGACTAAACTACTAAAATTAAACTAAAGCGACTAAATGAACAAAAAAGTTGTATATTACAGGGACGTAAAATTAACAGTTTTCAAAATATAGCGAGCATCAATATTGGGGAGTTTCAGATTTCCTTTGTTGTTAAGTGAAGAAGAATAGATAGTCCAGATAGTCCTTCAGGATATACAAGATGATTTTTCCTCTATTTACCATTTCTGCAACGAAAAATATGCTAGTATGGTTTACAAGTGACTTCAAAGCAAACAGTACAACAGAAATTTGAGTAGTTGGACTGAGGTCCACGTGGCCAAAAAGCTGTAGCCTTTCTTACAATATTCCAAGTAGAAATTCTCGCTATAAGTGCTTATCTAACGGAGACTCCACAGAGAAGCGACACATGTAAGCTTATCTGCTTATCCTTACTTTGATTTGAACAAGGTATGCTTAGAGCAGTTAGCTATGTTGAGTACTAGAATATAAAGATATTGAAGGAAAAAAGACAAGTGACTACAAAAAAGCGATATGTAACGGATTTTCTATGACCAGAGTCAGCATTTGGCATTCTCTACATCTTTCAGCGTTGTTAAGCATGTTTTGAATAGAGAAAAGCATCGTAAATACTGAGATTCAATACCAAGACATGCTAAAACGATATCAAAGTTTAAATTTTCCTCACAGAAGGAAACTAATGAAATGCTGGGTATAAATATGTTCAGGCCCAGAGAAATAGGGCAGTACCAATTCCAGAAGAACTGGATCTGATTGCGTTGAATCTTGCACAATAGGGCGGAATATAGTTTAGGACCAACTCATTTGTTAAGAATTACAAAAAGAGAATCTTCTGCTATTAAGTACTGAAAAGACTAGTCACAAAAGAATGGAAGTCTTTAATATATATTTAGATCACCAAGACCTTTATCTTAGAAACAAGAAGCGATAAAACAAGTGAATGGTATTAGAATGCAACCCATAATATTTTTTTCTAAGCGCTGCAGATTACATTCATTGAATTATTTTATACACCTCACTTTTTTCCGCGCTACACAAGAAAACTTAGTCCAGGAAGTCTTGACCATCAGGCGGTTTTTGTTTTACAATTTAATTAAAAATTCCAAGTTAGTTCTACATTATTCATTCCGTTTACTAAAATTCCATCTCCCCCCAAAACTGCTGAATAATTGTGGTGACGAGGAAACACAGCTTTTCTGGTTGCAACGAAGGACACCGCAGAACAATCACATTTCTCCAACAGTGCATGTCGAAAACCGCTTTGTTCGGTTTCAATTGAGGGAAAAAATCGTCTAAAAACGGTAATTAGATTTGAGTACATGGATGCGCGTCCGCTTGAGTTTTGCTGAGGTTTGGGCGCAGTTCAAAAACAAACAGATAGAAACCGCTTCTGTTGTTTTGGTGAAGGGGATAGTATTTTGACTACGATTTTTTTTTCCGTCTTGACACCTTTGAACATTCACTTGATTTAGTGTATTTTTGAAGTACCTACATACAGGATGTCTTTGTTTCAGTTCATATTATGACAAAAGTTTTCTAAGATCATTTTCGGCAAAGAAATATTTTAGACAGCGATCGAGTGTTGAATTGAACTGGATTGGTATACGATTATGTCAATCAGTAACTGATGTACCAAGAAAAATGTCATTGTATAAGATGTAAGATTGTAAGATGTAATTCAATGCTGGACGGGACTATAGCCAGCAGAGTAGTTGTTTCCAGCAATGTCAATAAGCAATGCTTATGCCAATCAGTAGACATTCAGTAGCATTTGTAAAAATATGGCATATTTTGAAGGTTATATGTATGTCACCTATAGTTATGGCTTTGCCCAAATGTTCTAATTATTTTGCGTAGTATCAGGGAGTTGTGCATATTGCCCAAATGCACTACAAAATAAGGTACAATATACAGAGTGTTCGGATAAAAAAGTTACCAAAATAAATGATTGGATTTCAAAGTTACATTTCCATTTTTTTTAATAACTCAATTATTATTTGATCGATAGTAACGAAATTCATTATAATGTAGAAGAAGCCACTTCACTGCCTATTTATTTGGAAGAATTCGTATGTACGGAGTGACGAAAATCGCTATGCTGTAAAGGAACACCTTTTTCAATCCGAATAAAAATGTAGATTGGAATAGTTGGAAACATCCAGCAAAAGATAAGCCAGAACACTAGATCGAGGAAGTGAATTTCCGTGGGCTTCACGCTGTCCAGATTTGAATCCTCTGGACTTTTACTTTTGAGGACACATAAAGCAACTAGTTTCTGGTGGGGATGTTTCTAATACTAGAGAAGAACTCCGGAACAGGATTGAAAATGCGGGTCAACAAATTATAAACAACTATCTATCGATCATTTCCTTTTTACAAAACTTTATTAAATCATTTAAAAAATTGTTTTGAGATAAATAGAGGGGACATGTAGAATAGTTATTATAACCTTTGCGTTATTGTTTAGTTCTTTAGTTGTTACATTTTTTTTGTTCATAATATTCACTAATTTACTGTTAACACAGGGTGTCCGTAAATTTCACCGACAACGTTTGACTCATTCATTCATTCAGGACGATAAATAAAAACGATCTACGAAAAAAAAGTTAAATAAAAATTTTTGGTTTTTGAATTACAAGCCTTCAAAGTTGTCAAGAATAAAACTAATTTAATTAATAACTTCATAACCCTTTTGCCGATCGCGTTAAAATTTGGCACATTTATTTGTAGTATTATGGCGTATTATGTCTTAAAGCTTCAGTCAAATCAATATACTGGGTGATAGTTTTCTCCGGTTAGGTACCTGTCGCTTTTAGAGATCAAAACTTTTACAGTAGTCGTATTTTTTTAAAACAGACAGCTACATTGAAAACGTCGTTTTATTTAAAAAAATATATTGTCTCTTGAGAAAATCGCCTTCCGATGGCTATTCTTTAGAAAAAAGGTGTTATTTAAGGTTATGTTGTCGTTCATTGCTTTGCATTTTTTTTGAATAAGCTATAATCAATATAATACTGTTTTAAATTAATATTAAATGGAATTAGCAGACCATATCGAAAGACAGGTCATTTTAATAAGCACACATTGTTATAATATTTATTCCATAGTTTTTTTAATACCTCTTTACAGATTTCCTCAACAATTAAAGTATATCAAGTATTCGTGTGTACGTGTCTATGGAAGTAATTCGATTAGGCGATTAATTTTTTCTTATAAACATGTCCCTAACATCGATTACCACTCCAACAATGGAAAATCGCCAAACACCGTCACCTCTGCGAACGCTCACACATTTTTTCCGAACTTAATAACCTTAAAGGTCACATTATGGACAGCCCCACCTCGCCGGACAAAAAGAAATGTTCCTTATTATCTCACAAACTAATGAAGCAAGACGATACAGAAATCCACGCTATAAATACTTTTATCGGTTATACCGACGATCAGTTCGATTCTCAGCCCGTAAAATGGCACGATCAGCCCTTCTATTAGCTCTGGTAGTCTCGGTTTCCGTCCTTAACAGCGGGCACGCCTCCGGCAAATTCGGCGGGCTCGGGGGTGGTTACGGGGGTGATTTCGGTGGGAAATTCGGTGGGTATGGTTTCGAGCACGGCGGAGGGGGTGGCGGGTACGGGTTTGGGCATGGAGGTGGCATCGGGTACGGGCACGGTGGCGGAGGGATCGGGGGTGGTGGTGGGGGAGGACATGGAGGATATGGGGTCCATGAAGCCGGCATTGGTAAGTATATGGTTTTAGTCGATACGCTTCCAATTCGGATAAACGTGGAGTGAGGGGTAATAATATGCCGCGCCTTCTCCCACACAAGTCACTGGCTTATAGTCGAATCCTTGCGATTAGGATGAGGGAAGAGATATTATCATTATTAAACCGTGTTTTTCATTTACAATTGTTGCATTTGTGAACAGCTTTTCATGAGGAATATCCTAGAAAACAAATATTAGAACAAATTATAGAAAAGATAGAAATAAATAGTATCTTACCAAATAAATATATTAATTCTACATTCACAGTTGTAAAAATTATATTTGCAACAAAAATTCATATATGTTTTTTTTTATATAAAACAAACAGTGAGTTATTTTCTTTTTATTCATTTCAGTATTAAGTTTATTTTATACCAAAATAATAATAATAACAAGTTTTCCGAAAAAAGTATATAGGTACAAGTAGGAATCAAATGGACTAATTTAATTCACGCAATATTCACTGGCGTTGAAATTCTGATGCGTAAAATTCATTGGTGTCAAATATATATCGAGATATTTACGTATTCGTAATGTTTGCACAAGAGTAGAAAAAATTACATTTCCAAACCGAGATGAACCACATTTTTTTCATAGTAAATGTATCCATAGATATATCGCTCCTTGTTCAAAGGAAACCGTTAGACTGTTTGCCAGTTTCAGAATTTCTTCTTCTGAAGGACAGGAAATATATACGGATGACGTGGCAATCGACACGGAAATTATTCAACTATTGACAGATGCTTGTTTGCAGATTTCTGTAAATTTCTGTAGATTTCTAAATCGTTGAATTTCCTGTCTAATTATCGCGTCGTCAGTTGTAGAACTTTTGATGTTTCAAGGGACCTATCGCTCTCTTCTTCAGAAGATACCTGAAACTCTGAAACTGTTTCTTCAAATAGCTTAAACCAAGGATATGGCAATCAATCCAAAAATTGTTGACCCGAATAAAAATGTTTAATTCTGCATTATCACATTATTTTTTCTGCTTCTCATATATTTTAATTCAAACATTTAAAAATAAGAATATTGTAGTTGCAATGTAGTCTTCATCTTAATAGGATATCAAAGTATGCAAAAAATTACGGACGTTGACATTTAGATCATTTTGTTGTTAACAATTCTGTCAATAATTTAGTTATATTTGTAATTTTAATCATCTTCAACCAATATGCGTTTTGTATAGACAATTCTGACAATGAATCGTACTTAATTTTCAATTTTACAAAATAATTATTTCCATTATTTTTTCATAGGCCACGGCGGAGCTGGCGGTGGCTTCGGCTACGGCAAAGGCATCGGCGGTGGCGCTGGAGGGATCGGAATAGGTCACGGAGGCGGTCATATTGGAGGAATTGGAGGTGGCGGTCATATTGGCGGCATTGGAGGTGGTCATATTGGAGGTGGTCACATTGGCGGAGGAGGCCACATTGGTGGCATTGAAGGAGGTCATCTAGGTGGAATCGGAGGCGGTCACATTGGAGGAGGTCACATTGGAGGAGGTCATATCGGCGGAATAGGAGGAGGTCACGTTGGAGGCATCGGCGGAGGTCATCTTGGAGGAGGTCACCTTGGAGGTGGTCACATTGGTGGTTATGGCGGCCATATTGGTGGAGGACACATTGGAGGCGGCGGAATTGGAGGCGGTCATATTGGAGGAGGACACATCGGAGGCGGTGGAATTGGTGGTGGCCATATTGGAGGAGGACACATTGGAGGCGGTGGAATTGGTGGTGGCCATATTGGAGGAGGACACATTGGAGGCGGTGGAATTGGTGGTGGACATATTGGAGGCGGTGGAATCGGCCTTGAAGGTCATTATATTGGAGGAGAGGCGATCGATAAAAGCGCTTACAGCGGCGGAAAGAAGAACGCAGAGGGAGAACATTTCTCCAAGTCCCATGGCAGCAAAGGGGGTGAGGTAAAACATGGTGAAGGTGGATTTGAAAAAGGTGAACTAGCCGCTAAGGATGTCAAAGGAGAATCTGCACATTACAGCGATGCTGACGGTGGAAAGAAGGTAGCACATGATGGAAAGGAATACCACGGAGCTGAGCACTTTGACAAAGAAGGTACGTTGTTAATTATTTATATTTTTTGCAGAAAATTTCAAATTTTTGTGATTATCAGGAAAGCACGGGGGAGAAAAGACCGTGAAGCAAGGCCACAAGAAGGGACACAAAGTCAAGGGGTACAAGACCTCTCACCACAAAGACGAGTCCGGCAAGACCGAAGAGTTCTACGATGAAGACCACGACGAAGGCGGCCATTTCGAGTTCGACGGCAGCTTCGGTAAATTCGGAGAAGGTAAAGCGGCATCCTTCAAGGGTGGCCACGAAGATGGCAAATTCAACGCTGGGGAAGCCAAGAAGTCCGGTCACTACGATAACGAATACTTCGTCGACAAAGCCCACGCTAACCACGGTAAATTCGGAGAGAACAAATACGCCGGAAACGAGGAAGTATACGGAGCTAACAAGGGTGTCGGTGAACACGATCTTGCTGGACATCATGAGTCTAGCAAGTACTATAAGCACTTCCCCATACATTAGTAAGGGTCGGTGACTGTAACGGACGTTAACCACTACCATCTAGTTTTTAGTGAGACTATACCTGCTGTCATATTTATTTAAAAAACAATTACAAGCTATTGGCAATCTTGTATATAATTTTTGTATTTTGACACTTTTGTATGTTTTGTATAAAAATAAAAGTGTAAATTATTATTAATAGGTGCCTTCCTTATTTCCCTCAACAACCATTAAAAATCAATTACGTTAGGAAGAAAGTAATTAGGTAGGTATAATAATAAAGAAATTTATATACCTACAAGTGGCACTAATTTGCTAATTACTTAATTTTTTATTTTGCCTAATTAAATAAAAATGCAAAAAAAAAACGATTACTAGATGATTCGAATTCAGTCCGATTCATGAAAGAACTAGAGTAATATTACTTCAATTTATATATTTATTGGTAAAACTATGTCTTCCAATATCATTTTTATGACATAACCTACCAGGTATATTTAAAATTATGTGTATTATTTCAAATTACAATTTAATTCATAGACATATAAAAACGGGTAGATTTTCCTTCCAAAATCATTTAAAAATAAATTCATCGAATACTAGGAAAAAAATAAATTCGTAACCACAGCAGACATTATTAATATTTTTTATAAAGTTATCAATATTATGTTTTTAACATATCATGGAAACCCTGAAAAACCTACAGCAAACCACAAATTTAACAACAGAATAGAGAAACAAGGCAAAGCTTTTTCAACAATTGCACAATACTATTTTTTTTCGGCATGTTATAAATTAAATTGTAAATTGAACTAATAGATAATTTCGTAAATACAGTTTATTATTCCATTCGAATCGTATTAGCTATAGTTATTTAAAAGTTCTCTCCAACTCTAATTACTAATATTTTGACCTTAGAGAAAAAGAAAGTAATTAAAATTAAGCATTATAGGAGTAAATAGAATTGCCTTTCCCATTATAATAAACATTTCCTTGTCGGTTCTTTTTTTTTTAGTCACAGTAACAGTTTTAAGTCCTGTTAAGTTTGGTTGAAAATAAGGATTTTGCAAATATTACTCGTTTACTTTTTAATATAACAGACAAATTATTATCATCAGACAAAAAGTTCTGAACTGTTATATCTTATTCCGTGTTGATGACCTAAGTTTTTATGTAACCTTACTGTTTGGTCTTTACATTTATTAGATGTTCCTTACTTTTATAACTATTAGTAATGCGTTTAGTTATCATACCACTTTTTAAATTCTAAATTTTCCACATTGTTTAAACAAAATCTTTAAATAAAACAGATAGACCGATAGATATGTCTACGAAGGCGAAAACAAAATATACTATTAATATATTGTTTTCAATTAGGTAAGTGGATTTTACCGTAAAAATGAAAATTGCTATGGACAACGGGAGGTAACTTTCCTCCCTAGGGAACAAAGCGATTACGAGTTGTAAATGCATATTTTATGAATAAATAAATAGAAATATTTGATGAACATTACATTTTATTAATTAGTATGAATGAATGTTTATAGTAATTATACAGTTATTACATTTAGTAACATTTATAAAATCTGGATAACTATTCCCCTCGCGTTTACTAATTGTCACATTTTTCTCAAAATGGTTTGACTGCTCCATTTCAGTCGCCGGAGGCTAAATGTTATCTGACTGATCCGTTAAAACAGCTATTTCATTATTGTTAGCAACATAACTTTCTGCAATTGTGGCTGATTTCCACCCGCCATGTCTCTTGATTGCTAATATATTGCTTAATTACTCCTGTATTAGCCAGTAACGTTGCCGATGTTATTCGGAATGAATAGCCTGTATATGTTTCAGGATGTTCTAGTTTCAAAAACGTACGTGACATACCATTTTTAGAAAGTGGAATTGTAACTACAATAATGTCATCAAAATTTTTAAAATTGACGATGTCCAAAGTAAGTTTGCATAACCCATTAGAACGGCATGCTCCTGCAATGCCTAAGACCGTCACTACCCCTTCATTAGCAAATATGTGTTATCGAGTGCCCGAACGAGAAAATCGTTGACTTGTTCTCTTGTAAAAACGTTTGACATTAAAAGCTATGTTAAAAATCAGAAAGAGCAAAAAACAATATTTTTTTATATATAAACTCACTAATTTGAACTCACGTGTAATTTCTTTTGCTTCGAATGTAATTTATCATGTATTGTGTATTATACATATATTTAGAGATTAATTTTTTCTAATGCAACAAACATTATTTAAAAAATTAAGACTTTATTTTTGACATGTTCCTGCCTTACACTCTGTATATCTACATTATAGCGATAGTAATTACACAGAGTATTCACTCACACCTGCTGTTTTTCATATGTAACATCAATATTAACTTGACAATGTAGAACTTCAGAGAAGGCTACATTGTATTAAACAGTATTGAAATAATTAAGATACAGTTTTTTTTTACTTTCCTTTCCAAACCACAGAACCGGACATCTAATTTGAACTGTGATAATTAGTCTGAATGCACCATTTTACACAAAACGTGATTTAATGTAAAAAAATGCTTAATAATGGAGTACCTGGCGTTGAAAGGTTGACAATGAAGGAAACGTCATTTTCTGGGATTTTCAGAAATTCAAATAATAAAAAACGTGGTGAATCATAAGACTGAGTCATACGGGGTGTTCCCTAAGTACGTTCCGATAATAAAGGAACCGACACTTTAGTTACATTTAAGATGAAAAGTTTCCGTGAACCTATGTCCTAAATGGTCTATACCTGCTGCAAATGTATCTCAGAAGACGTCGATTATATTTCAGATTGGTGAATTTTAATTCAGAAAATATAAATTCTACTACAATTAAGTTGGTTGTACTTCGCAATATATCCAAAGTATTGAAGAAAAATTTAAATTAAATTATGTTTTAAAAATATCAGCAAACATTAAAATTAATTGATACATTTTTTCGGGGCATTAAAACAATCAGTTTTGAATACAATACACAGAAATATGTTTAGAATATTTTTTGCCCCTAATTAAAATAAATAAATTCCGTTGACGTCCTGTATATTTTAATGTTATACTTACTTATTATATAAATTAGTAGAATTTACTTTGAAATGATAATATTCGCTATCTAAAAAATAATAACAATTTTGAATTTTTATTGGATTATTTTAACTGTGCAAATATTAGGAATATTATGTAAGCTCACAAATGACATTAACAATGTAATTTGTGAAACCTGGTATCTAGTCGAAAAAGGACAGATAGCAATTCTTGGTATTAATTATTAATAAACGATAGTAACACAAAAAAAATAATAAACCGCTTATCCTACAATGGAACACTATCGACCGTTCTGAAGTAAAACGTATACACCCGATTGAAAGTATTGGCACACGCATTTTTTAAGGAGGATATAATATTTCCAAAGGTCAACCCATAGATTTATTCTTATATTAACCGTCCTTTTTTCGCGTTTCAAACTAATCAACCAAAACGCGTTTTACATAAATGATCAATGGCTATATAAATGATCATATCTTTCAACAAAAATTAGTCGTGCTCGCACCTCTTCCGACAGACATGCTCCGATTGGTCGTTCTGTTAGTTTTTTCTGTTTTCGTTTGTTACGGTCAGCTGATAGGAGGACCGTTCTATCCGAAAGCGATTGGACTGAGCAGTGGAGAGTTTGGCGGCGGCGGCGGCGGTCACTTTGGCGGAGGTGGCGGACACTATGTCGGAGGTTAGTAAATGAGATATTACCATTTCGAAACTGTAGTAAATTTCTAATTGTTTAGTAGTGCGAACAGTACGGTTGGGAATAATATCAAGGCTGTTACAGTGGATTTGAATTAAATAAAAAAAATAGATTGATGTATTTAAACAATTTTATAAACTTAATTTAACTACTAAAATACAGCGTGTTCTACTTAAGGGCTAGTCACCCCTATAGCTTTTTTGTGTCAGATTTTAAATATTTCTTGTTTTTTTGGTCTTCTTATTCAAATTTACTCCCTTTGTTTGAGATATTTGAGTGGGACAAAATGGAGACATATGTAAAAATATGCAATCAGAAAACAATTAAATATCAACTGAAGAAAATGTGATCAAAAACCGATTTTTTTTTAATTAAAAAACCATAATGGGAAACTCGATCGTGTTTCGATTTAGTTTAGGTCCATTCAATATATTTTACCTCATTCCGAATTTATCACATAGGTGCTGGTCATTGGTATCCAGGTCTAAGCCTAGGAAGTGATGTGGGCGGTGCTGGATTTGCTGCACACAAATTCGGAGGAGCAGGAGTTGGAGGAGCGGGTATTGGAGGACACGGGATTGGAGGAGCGGGTATTGGAGGACACGGGATTGGAGGAGCAGGAATTGGAGGACACGGATTAGGGGGAGCGGGTATTGGAGGACACGGAATTGGAGGAGCAGGAATTGGAGGACACGCATTAGGGGGAGCAGCAATTGGAGGAGCAGGAATTGGAATCGGTGCGTCCGGTGGAGGACAAGTCGACCACAGCGTCTACCAGGGTGGAAAGAAGAACCTAGACAATCACCACTTCGTTCAAACCCACGGCAAAAAGGGAGAGGAACTACACCACGGAAATGGGGGATTTACCAAGGGTGAGGTTGCTGAGAAGAATGTAAAAGGTGACTCTGCCTATTTCAGCGACGTCAATGGTGGGAAGATCGCCCACCATGAGGGAAAAGATTACCACGGTGGAGAACATTACTCCAAAGAAGGTAATTTTTATTTACATTTATGAAAAAATATCGGAACCTTTACTAATGCAATTCAAATGGTTGTCAAGGTAATTTGACAATTGAAACATGAAGGCAGTTAAAAGATATCAATATTTTTACAATTGTGGAACTTTTTTACATACTACAATAAAAAAAGTTCTACATTGCCCCCAATTTATTAAAGGGAGGAAATTTACTAACATTTTTGTATGTAGATGTACCAGCATAAGTTGGCCAATTTCTTGATCGATATATCGAGACAAAAATTGTTAAATATCATTGTCATTATTTAGATGGTATAAAACGACAGATATATCTAGTCAATATTATGTATTTCTTGCCGGCGGCGTCGGTTTAATTCATTGTTTAAAAAATATCCGGGAAGGAAAATATATATTTTTTTCTAAATTGTCTTAAAAATTGTATACATTCTAACCATAGTTTTTTATATAAACCCAACAATATCTTAATTTATGTCGTACAATAAATTTCCGTTTTGAATAAAATCGACCCTTCACTAATTATTAAAAAAGTATCTAACTTCGATCAACCACAGTAAACAACAGTTTTTTTGTTCACGTAAAAATAAAGCAAGTATTAGGTACTATTTGTTCTATACAAGGTGTTAATGATAAGTTTTCCCAAACTTTAATGGCGTGTTCTACCGATGAAATTAATCAAGTTTTGCACTATAAAAATTTTTGTTAGGACGCTTTCCTACGGAGATACAGGGTGTTAAAAGTTTCAAATATTTATATTATTTTTTCTGTAACTTCACTGGCATAAAAGACTGAGTGATAAAATTTGGGGGATGACATTTTTTTAGTAGGGACTATTTTTTCATGGATAACTTATTCCAAAATACACTCCAGTGGCGTAGTTATTGGGGGAGTAGGGAACCTTGTTTGAAAAAAAAATCGTACATCACTGGTTTTTTAAATAATTTTAAATGTTTTTAAAATGTACACTTAATTTGTGGCAATAAAGTATTCTAGTAAAGTATTCGTAAAATTTACTGGTCTTTAGATCATTGGGAAATCAAATCAGTACCTACGATGCTATTTACCATTTTCTATCGATTGCTAAATGTGTAACAATAAATTCAATACCTAATATTTTTGAGAGAATATTTTATTAAAATAGTATTGGATTTTTCTTAAAAGGTTGCATTTATGACGAATATTCAAATTGTTCCATATAATTGAAGAATTTGAGTCATGGCAGTCTAAAAAGACACATGCATATTAAAAAGTATGTTTTCTAACATCACTATTTACAAAATTTCAATGAAATAGTTTTCCATTTCTCACGAAAAGAAAAAAATTATTTTTCTAAAATGCTGGAATTTATTTTCTTGAAATAAACCAACTGGCCACCTACTTTTTATAGATTTTATTACAAACTTAGTGCTTCATATGTTTCTATTAAATTTATTTCTATTTTTGTAGGTATTTTTCGTAGAAAAATTTTCAAATTAATTAAACAAACCTTGTGCTAAAAGAATCCGTCGAAAGTTGTTTTTTCGAAACTATTTTTCCGAACCGAAAATCACACACTGAAAAAACAGGCAAATAAGAAATAAGTATTACTACGATCCGAAAATTAGGCTGTTTCAATTGTCAAAAGTATTAACGTTTAATTTTTAATAAATGGAAGATTTTGTTAATGAAATTTTTAGTTACACAAAAATTGTGTTATAAAAACAAACCCTGACAAATTTTTTAGAGTAAGTTTATTTCATTAATTTTTAAATTTGTGCACAAATAAATGGAAAAGCTAAAGTTATGCCACCAATAAATAAAGTTAGGGAATTTTGTATCCAATTCAATCGAAAAAACGTTTTCTATTGTAAATCCAAAAATGTAACCTTTTTCCATTTTAAAGACTTATAACCTTTTGAACAACATTAATTTATAATTTCACATTTTATAAAAATTGGAATGCTAGCAGTGTTAATTTAGGTCCCAAACAAAAACATTGCATTTTTTGGAAAATAAGCATAAACTTACACGGGGAGTGCTTCAAACTTTGCACTCTCTGTACCACTTCCTTACTTTCAATATTTTTTCACAAATTGCCTGTTTCGAAACTTTAATTCGAATATAACAAAAAATAACAATAACTCTCATTAACGGAATTAAATTAACTTTTTTACCTCGCGTGTCATATACTGAGAAATAATTATTGTACCTACTATGGGCCTTTATTAATTTGAGACAGTGATATAAAATAAGATCCTTGTAAATGTTCAAAAGTTGACTACTCCTACAACGTTTTTGCCGAACTAAGACAATAAAATGCAAAAAGTATCGAAATTACACAATATCAAATTAACCGTGGAAGGTTAGCTACTGGAATTAATTCGATCTCGCAGCGGTTATTTTTTCCTAACTAGATTAGAGTTTCCTTTAAAAACAGTCAAATCCTTTTACTGCCACGTGACATATCAGACAACTGTGCGACTATAAAGGAGTAATTGATTCCGCTTAATTAATTCTATTGTATAAATATACGAATTAGCATTATTTTCGTGAATGTTAAATAAAAGTGATTGGATACTCGTGGAATGCTTTGAACAAATTGTCAACACCCACTAAAAAAAAGGTGTATTTATGTTAAAAGAAGTATTATTTGAAAATTGTATAAAAACTTGCATTGTAACCGTGTGGCCAAATGAAAAGTTTTGTTGTTTAAGATTAAAATTTTACATTTAAACCGCAGTTATATATTTTTTTCCACCAAAAATAGTGTATAGTAATATGAACACTATTCATATCTCAGTCAGGCGAGTTTTCATCAGACAAAAACAACATTACAAAAAATTTTTATATTAAATTTTAAATTAAAGTAAAAAGAGGATTTAGGAATGACCCTATAACTGTCTTTCAAACTGCTAAGACATAAAATTGTATCATCTACAGGGTGATTCACAAATGCTGACCAAAAATGAAACCTCGTATTCTTTTAAAGGGAGTCTTTCCTAAAAAGTTTTTATCTAGGACGTTTCGTTAAAAAGATACAGGGTGTTAAACCTCAAAAAATATTTTTAATTTTTTTAAATAATTTAAAAACTAGTAAGTGAAATAATATTTTTTTTAAGTTTAACACCCTGTGTCTTTTTAACGAAGCGTCCTAGATAAAAACTTTATAGGAAAGACTCCCCTTAAAATTTACCAAAGAATAAGATGTTTCATTTTTGGTCACCATTTGTGAATCACCCTGTATAACACTTTCTCTGACGGCAAGAAGTAATACTTTTCTCAATACCAATCGGGACATATAGTCCGCAGAGTAGTTTCCTGCAATGTCATTAGTTAAAAATACAAAAGAACTTTGAAACACATTGATCTAGTTCATATAAAGTATATTAAAAACGAAGCTTCTCTAAACACATGTTTATAGGAACTTTTTTGTTGATTTGTGAAAAATTTAGCCTTCTTTCAAATTTATTTATTTAGCTCGTGTTTCAGGAGTATTAAGAAATATCCTTTTATTTTTTCCCAATATTTTAAAAATTAAATCGATTTGTAAATAAATAATTCAACATTCGCTGTTTGAGAGCAATAACATCCGAAAAATTCAATGAACGATTTTTTTCAAAAGTTAATTAAGAATTTAAATATGTAATAGGTACACAAGAAACTTTAACGAGATTGAAAAAATGGGTCTTGCAATGATCTGAGAATAATACTGTTGTATAATAAAAAGTATTAAATCGGAATGTTGTCCCATATTACAGGCTAAAGATGTTTTTTAGTAAGTTTTTATCTGAATAAGAGTGACGTTGGCTCTGTCTGCTGATTGACGAATGATCTTTACGAATGAGGTTTTGGTCCGCATAGTCAAGAACAAACAGGATCATTTCACAATTCACATTTGACAATTCACATTTCACCATTCATATTTCACATTTCACCATTCACATTTCACGTTTCACAAATCACATTACACAATTCACTTTTCACATTTCACAATTCACTCCATAACAAACATTTCCGACTATTTTACATTTAGGAGACATTAACAAAGTAACCTGTCGTTTTCTTCTTATTTGTTTTTTTATATTCTAGGTCATGGAGGCAATCAACAAACCAACAAGAAGGGCCACAAAAAGGGACACAGAATCAAGGGATTCAAGAACTCCCACCACTTAGACGAACACGGTGGAACTGAAGAGTACTACGACGAGGCCCACGATGAGGGCGGCAACTACGCTTTCAAAGGAGAAACCGCAGGATTTGGAGAAGGTGCAGCAAGCTCCTTCAAGGGTGGTCACGAAGGGGGTAAATATAACGCTGGGGAACAGAAGAAATCGGGGCACTACGGCCAGGAGTTCATCTCTGGAAAAAGCGAAGGGAACGAAGGAAAATTTGGCGAGCACAAGTATTCAGGTCATAAAGGCGTTGTTGGAGAACACAAGGTTGTTGGTAGCGACGATGTGTCTGGTTACGAAGATTCCAGCAAATTTTTTAAACACTACTAAGACACCTTCATACCTCATCGTCAAAGAGTTTTAAGTTTAAACACCACAGACTCCGATGATATGTAATTTAATGAATCACATATTTACCTTTGCTCAGTATTTAATTAGTTTTGTACATATTTTTTAAAAAATAAAGAATAAAATATTACTTTTGTATTATATTCTTTCATGAAATTACCATGGTTGTGTCTATATTTTATTTAAAAAAGTGAAACAAAATTCCCCCACACCAAATTTCATTGAAACATTTAAAAACTTGGAGGATTATCTTGAAAAAAAGGACGTTGTTTTTTTATGAGGTTTGTAACCTTTTTAAGGTTAGATCTAGGGCTAAATCTATTAATTTGTACTCAAGTATGGTATTTTAATTTCTGGCCACCCCCTGTACCCTTATCTAGCAAGCGCTATTCTCTAAGCACCTTTAAACAAATTCATTTGTCAAGCCCTGGATTACAAACAATAGATTCACGCATTTTATACTAACGCCCCAGAAACAACCTTAAAGGTCGTATTACTGGCATCCCACAAACACTAACACCCATTGTTTTACCTAACACAAATCACCCAAGAAATTACCATAAATAATCACCATTATAAATACAAAATTTATTGCAAGGCAGCCTCAGTACTTACTCAGCCAGCCTGAGATGTTCCTAATTTTCCTAGTCGCCTCGCTGGCGACGATATTACACTACGTAGGGGCTGTAACACACACGAATGTGGCACTGGTAGGAGGTGGAATGGGCATGGGAGGTATGGGAATGGATATGGGCGGTATGGGAATGGGAGGCATGGGAATGGGGATGGGGGGAGGGTTTGAGATGGACAAGGGCATGTTCAATGGAGGGATGAAGAATATGAATGACGTCTTCTTCAACGGCAAAGGAGGGAAGCAAGGAGGACAGTTCGGGCTGGGAAAACAAGGTTTCTATCAAGGGGAAGGGATGAACAACTTGAAGAAAGGGGAACAAGGAGCTTTCAGCGGACACAAAGGAGGAAAGAATCTGATGTCAAAAGGCGGCGGCTACAAGGGAGGCAATAAGTTTGGAAAACAGGGTGAGATGACAATAATTCTGCTATATCTTTACTAGCTTAAGTTCTTAGGTAATAAGTAAAACAAAAAATTAGTTTATAGGATGTAAAATAATCCTAAAACGATTCCTAAAGGCTCAAGATTGTAAGTGAAAAATGGATTTTAAACTGATAGTGGACCTGGAGCAAGAATATTTGGTGGGAAGTAATACAACTTAAGGTTTTGGCGAGACATATAGTCAACTCAATTAGCCTAGACTTTTTCCAGTATTTTCATACTCTGGTTACCCACAATAAGGTAACACTCAAATGGATACCAGGGCAATGAAGAGAGGCAAACACCTTAGCAAGAAGGGAATCTGTAGAAATTTGTACAGGTCTTGATCCTGTCTTTGGAACACCAAAAACGTAGGGCGTGACTGCAACATCAATTTCGTTGGAGATGCATATCGATGCAAAAACACAGCAAATCAATGATCAAAACACTTGTAAAAACTGACTACCGACGTACTTCGACAGAAGACAAATCAAGTCAATATTTTTAATGGTACTTGAGCAATTGGTTAAACACTATGTTCTCTTTCAATCTTTAAAATATCGAGATTTTGGCAAACGTTTGGGTTTTAGGAAAAGTATTACTCTTGCATTTTTATTTGTTTGAAGAGAGGAATTAGCTCTCAGTTTATAAGAACGTCGCTGCTACATCCTGTACTTTGAACTGTACATAAACATTATCCTCTTCTTCTAATGCTTCTTCTTCTTTCTTTCGCCCACTCTTTCCTCTTCGTCTTCGTCTTCTTCCACTTAGCTCTTCCGAATTAAAGATGTGCGATACTTATGCACATTTCTTTTGTTTCAGGCAAAAAGGGAGACCAGAAGAAAAAGCAGGAGGACCACAAAAAGGCGCACGGTATCAAAAGCTACAAAACTTCCCACGAAAAGAACGAGAACAGCCAGAGCGAAGAGTTCTACGACGAAGAACACGACGAGGGAGACAAGAGCGGGTATGCCGGACAAAAGGGACAGTTCGGCGACAAAAAGGGATCCGGAGCCAAGGGAGAGGTGGGGGAGGCGGCGTACAACGCCGGAGAGCAGAAAAAGGGCGGAAAGTTCGAGCAGAAATACTTGCAAGACGCGGAGAAAGGGCAAGCGGGGCAATATGGGAAAAAGGACTACCTTGGAGGACAAGCCGGTTACGCGCTCAAGAATGCTGGGGACCTCAAAAATGCTGGCGGACACGATCAAGCGCAGAATATGTACAAGTATTATAAGCACCCTATGATGTTCGGTAGATAAAATGTCTCGAAATGGTTTTGCAAAGGTTTTGTTCAATATAGATACTTTATATTCAGTAAGATGGCAAAATATGAAAAGGAAAATGAAAAAAAAGAAGAATCAGTTTTTTTATAACCATCTTAAGAAATATATATTAAAAAATCTAAATTATATCGTATTCCATATGTATTTTATTCGGTGATTTCATTGTCAGTAAGATGTATTTTCATTTCTTCACTTTCCTTGTACTTTCTTGCGAAATTTTAAATTACACGAAAAACTTGTGACTAAGTTAAATTATTGTCTATAAAACCTGATACAGCCTTTGGATAATTTATTTATTTATTGTAAAAATTAATATATAGGTATAATATAACTGGTTTTTAATTTAATACTGAAATTTTCTGTGATAACCCAGCTGTTTAGATTTTACAACGAAAGTTACTGTTTTAGTTTGTATTAAACTCGATTTTTTCTATTTTTATTCTAGTACGTATAATAAAATGTATTCCCAAAAGTTTTTAACTTTTTCTAGATTATAAATGATGCATTAACATGATTTCCGTTTCAAAACTTGATGAACAAATTTTACATAATAATAATTAATGCAGTCTGTAAAGTCCCAAAAAGAATTATAAATAATTAATTACTACTTTTGGTACCTACCTAATATAACTTCCCAAATTTCAAATAATTTGCTTTATAAAGTTATTTTTATATTTATACAAGTACCTACCTAGGTACATTACATTCAGTGAATATTAGTAAACAATTTCAATATAAATTAGTAAAGTAATTAAAATTAATTAAAATTAGTAATGTTTCCTTTCAATCATGAATAAATTCATTCATGAAGTTATTATAATATTGAAATACATCTAAGGGCAGTTATACACGTAACGATAAATCGTAGTGAATTAAACGTGCAAATAAAAGTTGTATATCATTCTTTATTTTATCCGTATGGCAGATATATATGTGAAAACCAATCAATTTCATAACTACTCTGCACAGTTTCATATGAACCGACAAATCATTGAGATTTATTGATACATGAATAGCTATTATAAATTCCACAAATTTTAAATTGACATAATTAATAATGAAATCATGTTGGGTGTATGTGTACGGCATTAACTTTCAAAGAACACTTATAAATAATTATTATACGAACGATCAATGGTCAATCTTCTATTCTATCTACAATTGTTTTACATTTTTTGATACTTAAGATTGCAATGAACCAGTTACAATGATACAGTAGTTAATCTACTGTGATTTCTTAGAATAAATTTTTCGACAAAATCTCCTTGGAGATTTTTTTTTTAATTTGATTACACAGTTATTAATCATCACTTAAAACTCAATATCTCAAATTCCATCAGTTTCTAATGAAAAAATTGCATACAGACTTAAAATATATAAAGTTTTTTTTTCAATTTAAAAATCAAGGGACCTGAATATGAATAATTAGCTGATTACTGACATTACTCAAGCAAAGACTGTTCAACTCATATTTATTTCGCCAGTAAATTTCATATATATAACATATAACATATAACATATTTCAGTTTTCTATAAGGAAAGCTATAAAAAGGGCGTTAAAAAATATTCGTCTCATAGCTAGTGTTAAAAAGACAAAATGTAAATGAAATTGGAAGGTATAACCATTTTTATTTCATGGGAAATATATTATTCGAGATGTTTAACTGCCTCCCTTGTATGTCAGTACAGGTCCTACATCATCTTATAAATGAACTAAGTGTACTCTCAGTTCTCAACTGGTTTTGCATACACTTTTAAGATAGCAACAAAGAAGTCCAGCGCGTTCAGGCCTGGCGATCTAGGTGGCTATTGCGCAGGTGCACTACGGCCAATCCACCTTAGTTCATAATTCAATAACTTTGTAACACAAGCAAACAATAAACAGCAAAGTATACCTAACCTTTAAGACATGATGCATTTATTTGATCAGTAAATACTAGTTATTTATTGTATAAGTATTTTAAGTAGCATTTTATTCACGCAAGCGTTTCATATTCTTAAGTGAATAAAAGCGTTTAATATTCTTAATGGATAAAAGGCAATTAAAACACGAATGCAATACAACGTTTTATCCATAATCACATCACAATCATATTTGTGGAGTTAGAATGAATGGAATTTAATAAAAATATATTCGCAAGAAAATTTCTTTCTAGCACTCAATGAAACGTAGTAGGTTTTGTTATATCTACTGGTTGCTATGGAACGTTGTTTATTATCAATTATTTTGTAAAAAGTTCTATCTGAATTTGGTAAAAATGCAAGAAAGTAATTGTGTTCTCACAAACTTCGGCAGATATGTGTTCCGAAAATGATGGCAACACAGCTACAAGGGTTGTTATTAACGAAAAGGAAGTTAAAGGTGATAAAACAAAAAACGAAATGTCTATTTCTATAAATGTAAATGTTAATGTTAAAATTAAATTTGATTTATTATAGGTTTATTATTTTATCATTATTCTACTAGTGGATCACTTTCACTTTAGATGGTTCATATGTGTGTATAAAAGAATTTTATTCAAAAAAAATAACCCACTTTTTACCTATAACACACGATAAGGAATCAACTTGTATCTTTGTAAAATATATTACTTTTGTAGAGATACTAACTAATAAATCCTTTATTAAGACAAAAAATAACAATTTTGTGTTATTATCTGTGTTATCAAATTTTTGTTATCATATGCTTTTCGTCAAGAAGGGTTTTGTTACATTTTGTAATTTTCTCGAAAAGGGTACGTCCAATCGAAAAAAAGGTATATTTTTTAAATTTACCCTGGTCTTTCAGCATATCCTACAATATTTTACAAAAATTTCAGTGATGTAGAAGTAGGTGCAGCAGAAGAAGATGGCAATACTACTGAATCTGCGATTCTGAATTATCTCATTTTTCATCACTAATACTCTAATTGTGCTGACTTATTAGGTAATACCCTGTATCAAAAGATCGATCATGTTGCAACTCAAACTCAAACTCATACAGATTTCTGCTGTTAAAAAATTTTGAAAGAGTCAAGCTGTAACTCAAAATAGATATAAGATAAACATCGACCCAACATGAAATAGTGTTCATTTTGAAAGTATGTAGATAATCCTACACTCTGAAGATTCAAGATTTTCATAAAACTATCCCCATTTTACTAACTATTAAACGTCTCAAATCACGATTAAACTTAATTCGAATAATCCAATTAGAAACGCCGAAAACTGTGCTAAGGAAGGCCCGGCAAACAATGGAACCAGCGGTAGTACAAACTGCAAGCGTATAACAACCTTAAAGGTCATATTACTGGCATCCTCAGAAAGAACCCGGCTAATTAACAATAACATACATTCCTTGCTGCCTAATTAGCTAATCCACCAAAAAATTAACCATATATGATCGACACTATAAAACCCCAGGACCAAGTATCTGAAGTCAGTTCTGTTTTCGGTGTGCTCCGACGTAACAACATGTTCAAGCTTGTTACCATCATAGTCCTAGCAGCCTGTCTCCAGAGCCACAAGGGCGTACATGGGGGGTACATGCCCATGATGGGAGGCGGCGGCGCCATGATGGGCGGTGGCGGTGGAATGATGGGCGGCGGTGCCGGAATGATGGGCGGCGGAGGAGCCATGATGGGCGGTGGAGGAGCCATGATGGGTGGTCCCATGATGGGTGGAGGAATGATGGGAGGAAAAACTGCCATGATGGGAGGCGGCGCTGGTATGATGGGCGGCGGCGCTGGAATGGTCGGGGCAGGAGCAGGGATGATGGGTGGGGCAGGCATGATGGGCGGCGCAGGAATGATGGGTGGAGCGGGAATGATGGGTGGCGGCGCTGGAATGATGGGCGGCGGCGCTGGAATGGTGGGCGGCGGCGCCGGAATGGTGGGCGGCGGTGCTGGGATGATGGGTGGTGCGGGGATGATGGGCGGTGGTGGCATGATGGGCGGCTACGGGGGTGGAGAAATGAGCAAGGGCGCCTACAACAGCGGGAAGAAGAATATGAATGATTTGTACTACAAGAATGCTGAGGGTAAGGAAGGAGGTCAATACGATCAGGGACAACAAGGATACAACAAAGGGGAACTGGCTGCTAAAGATGTTAAGGCTAATTCTGGGTACTATAATGACGTAAATGGTGGCAAGAAACTCTTCGAAGATGGGAAGATGTACCATGGAGCCAAACATTACGACAAAGAAGGTAATTCTTCATTGACCCTATAGTATGTATGTATGTATGTCGGAGAGTGGTTGAATTGTTTTTCCACCGCGGCACTTAGGCCTTATTAGGCCCCTTGTACACTCTCCTTCATTACTCGAGTACTTTTCTTCAAACCATCCTATTTACTACACGGGTGGCTTGGTGGCAAACAGTACAGTTTATGTATGATAGCATAGTCTTAAGTTACAGAGATTTTCTTGGCTCTGTTCTCATTACCATTTATCGGGGACCACCCGCATGCGGAAAATGTTGAGCGACCCAGGTCTCTGGTAGGCTGTCACAGCCACGTCCCTGAGCCTGCCTTAGGTCACCCATCCAAATTCCAGACTGCGTCCGTGATACTTACCTCGGCAAATCGAAATCCACAGGCCAAGACACCCGGCTAGGCGGTCCCCCGACCCTATAGTATCACCAATCAAAACTTTTAACTCTAATTGCTCTACAATGAAAAATTTAGTACTTGAAGTAAGAAAGTAAAAAATCGCGAGAAACAAATAGCTTCTTTCTTAAAAAACACAACTGAATGGTCCATAGTAGTTTTTAGACTTATATTTTTTTCTCTGCCTTGTATTACACCTACTGTAGAAGTGTATTGATCTATAATTACCTCAAATTAATTGCGATAAATTCAAATTAATCCATGCAAATTAAATTCTGGCGTTATGCAAACTAAGTTGAAAAGTACTTAATTAATGTCACATCCGCATTAATCCATTTATATTTTTAGTACATTGTTCAGTTAATGAATGTAATGTACCATTTCAGATAAGGCAAAAAAAATAAAGAATAAATAAGTAACGTTATAAATAATGAAACTTAAACCTAAACTTTTGAACGTTCAGAAAAAAATTATTTATAATTTTGGGGTAGTTCAAACGTGAAATATTTATGTTAGAGGTACTATCACTTGGTACTCTTTGATACCAAAATTTATATGTGCTTTTCGTTATCCCAGGCAAGAACGAGGGCCAGTCCAACATGAAAAAGGGCTACAAAAAGGGCCACAAAGTCAAGGGCTTCAAGAACTCCCACCAGAAGGAAGAGTCCGGCAAAACGGAAGAGTATTACGATGAAGACCACGACGAAGCCGGCAACTACATGTACAACGGCCAAGCCGGTAGCTTCGGAGAGAAGGGAGCTTCGTCCTTCAAGGGTGGCAAAGAAATCGGCAACTTCAACGCTGGCGAGGCCAAGAACCAAGGACACTACGGCAGCAAGTACCTCGCTGATAAGGAAAAGGGCAATCTCGGAAGATACGGCGAGGGCAAATTCGGTGGCAACTTTGCTGCTTATGGTCTTAACAATGGAGGCGGCATGCACAACATGATGGGACACCACGAGGCCAGCAAGTTCTACAAACACCACCCCTTCTACCATTGGTACTACTAGAGTAAGATCCGGACAAAGCAAGGTTGCTCCAAGTTACACAGTTTTGTACTTAGTATAGGTAGATGTAACAAACCTTATTTATAATTGATACACTTTGTGTATCTACAATTCAAATAGTTATTCTAAATGAACTGCCTATACGACGACGTCCTCGACTACCGCAACGACCTGGTGTTGATTAAGGTTAGGTACACTTTAGGATACTTATTTATGACGAATGCTGTGACCTGGTGATTTTCATGTATAAAATTTTTGTATAAAAAATTTAAAAAAAAATAAATGTTTGCAATGTTAATGTTTATATATGTTGATGAGGTCGTATGAAGCACAAAAATATGTAAGCAATAAATGTTGTTGCTTTAATGATGCGTTTTTATTTAAATTATTTTTTTAATATGTATGATGATTTAAGCTAATTTTCCCTATTCCTGATGTTACTGATTGTCTAAAACTTCAGAACGATCTTGATGCTTCTGTAATTTTTTGTAAAAACAATAATTTGTCTATTAATATCGACAAATACCATGTAATCACTTTTACTCGAAATAAATATCCTTTCCTATACAGGGTGGACCAGATTTTAATAGACAAACTTAGGGGAAAGTACCAAACAACAAATATTAACATCACTTTGCTCTACGAACATAGGTGCAGAAAGCCACCATTTATGAGATACAGGGCGTTCAAATTAACAAAAATAAAACAATTTTTTCAAATATCTGGAAAACCGCTTCAACAAATTTATCCAAATTTGGTACACATTTTTTTCAAATATTTCTCCTAGTTCTGTATGTAGACAGTGTAGACAGTCCAAATTCAAAAACCAGTGGCGGAGAAACAAGGATATTGTTTCCTTATTTAAAGTAAATCTTCTACGCCACTGAATTAATTGGTAATATGAATACATTTTATAGCGGACTGAAACATTGCAGATGAAAAAAGTTTTTTATTTTTGTCGAAAAGTGAATGGTTTACGAGTTATGAGACATTATCCAAGTAAACATGTTGCCACCTAGTTTAAATTCCGAAAAATTTAAATCGTGTAAATTCCGAAAACGAGTAAGTACTTAATTAAAGGGAAATATATTTCGAAAATATTTCTAATTCGTCGCAACATTTGCCCCGTTTACTAGGTAGTCCAGCAATATTTTTCGCATAATTAATTATATTTTTCAATGTTTCTTCGTTTCTTAATTCAGAAATTTTTTGACTAGTGAATTTAATTTGTTTAGAGCAATAGTTTACGTCATTAAGTCTTGAAAAAGGTGTTTCAAGAGATAAAACAACACTACCCGCGTACTATGTGACGCGTACATTAACCGCGAATATTATATGTAGTAGGAAAATGGTGATGCCTTAACGATATGCCAATGCTAGTATCTCACTTTATTGAAAAATCGAAAGGCAGAATTTTTTATATCCATCGAATATGCTAGAAAAATCATCCTGATATCTTCTTGGTTTTCTCATAACTTTAATCTCGGTGGATGAGGTTCCTGGGAATAAGAAATAAAATAAAAAAATCGCACATTTCATAATCAATTTATTTCCAGCAAACTATACAACCTAGAACCTATACATATAAAATTACAAGGAATTGTTCAGAAACTATAACTAGTATAAATAATCTTCAGTCAAGTCACACTTACAGTCAAAAGGAAAACGTGACGGAACGATGAATAAATTTAGACAACACTGGTAATACATGACTGAGCAATTTTTTAAGCAAAAGTTCGCAGAGATCAGCAACAGCACATCTTTCTTTCTTCTAACATTAAGAAAAAAAAAAAAGGTTTACATTTCATTCGATTCCCCACAACAAATATTATTGTTCTTTGTCTCAAATGTTATATTACGTTACTATTTAAAGCACGACTATTTTTCGGGTTATTATGACGTGTCCTATGTACCTGGTCACAACCTGAGCCTTCGCTAGGAATCTTTGACCTGACACTGTTGTTCTCGGGCTAGGCTCTGTCGAGGTGAACCACGGGCTATCAGAACCCTGCCCTGATGTTGATTCTGGTTCTTGTTAGCACAAAGGCAGCTGTGGACACAAACAATGGTGGTCCTCTGAAACGTTCCATAGTGGCCTCTGTAATACCACTGATGTGGTTGCAAACGGCCTTGGCGAAGCTTTTGTAAAAGATGCCAACAGTGAGGAAAGCAGAAACTTTGGAGGCATTGCATGTGAGCAGTTACAGAGGTCACAATGGAACGTCACAGATGACCACCATTTTCTGAGGAGCCGTTCCATCTGTAGCAACTTTAGAACTAACAACGGGAATAGATATGAACATCAGAGCGAGCCTAGGGAATCTGGTATCGGGTCCGTTCCCACAGAGCTTAGAACGAGAATAACACGGCACGTCAAAGTCTGTAACTGGTGGTAAAACCACTAGCAATTCACTTGGTTTTATTAAAGTCTTTTTTAGTCATAAAAATGACTTCATAATTCAGTGTGAGAAATCTCATGAGTTTCTAATAAAGTGTATATTTGAGGAAGTAAAGAATTCCATAAAAAGCCACTTTTAAATCTACATCAATAAAATTTACCTACCTACCCTACCATTTGAAAAAAAAAATAAAAATAAAAAAAGTTAATGATTTGGGGGTCACTTTTCCAACCACAAAATTGTTTTGAAAACTTTTAACAACCCATGAAAACTCCATAAAAGAATATGAAAATGTAAAATATAGCAAAAAAAATGTAAAATGTTTAAAAAAACTCTAAATTTAGGTTTTTATAATATATAGGGTGTTCCAATGTACAGGGTGTTCAAAAAGTTTGGAACCTCCCCTTTAACTCAGAAAATACTGCTCAAACAAAAAAATGATTAGGACAAAAGTTGCAGGGTTTTGTGTGAGCAATCCAACGGTGACGTTGACCATGATCTTGAAGGTCATTTAGAGGTCAAGTTGAAAATTTTAAATGGAACCGTATACTTTTGACCCCGGAAATGGAAAAAATGGAAATGAAAATATAGAAAATGGCACCCGAAACCTCATTTTCAGCGGTTGTTAAAAGTTTCCGTCTCCCTAAAACTCTTCTTAAAATAAAATTTGTATAAATATAGACTATTAAATTCTCCCTATGGTCACGCTAGCCTCCGTTCCTCTAAAACCATGCAAAACTATACGTATAACACATACGAAATAGGTTTATTAAAATATTTTCATCCTATTAACAGCCTTATTAAACTGGTTCGACAGTTCTAAATTAATCTACAGAGCGTAACCTAAAATAGGCTTTCACTGGTTAAAAAAAAAATAGGAAAAATTTAAGCTCTTACACCAAAGCGAATTTTAAGGTACCCCCTGTATTCAGCTACGTAGTCACATCACAAAAAATATTGTATCTCTCAGTTTTCAGTGCCCTCCGAAATTTGTACACCGACAAAATACCGAAGCGGCCTTTAAACTAGCGCATTGTTCTAGCACAAGGTAAAGCCCTAAAAAAATTTGTTGCGTCAGCTATCTTACTCGCTAGATTGTAAAATGAGCCTTAGGGTATCTCTTGGAAAATAAAAGCTACAATACAGAGCGTTTTCGAGTAATCGAAAAACAAACAAAGCGGGAATGGTCTTTTAGTTTCTTTAATACTAGGAGGGTGATTTCACATCTGTCAACACCCTGTCTTTACACTAAAGTAGAAGAAAAAACTTACAAAAGAAAATATATAATTATAGTTAGTAATCCCTGCAAATAGAAATATTACAAAAGATCCTAAATTACTTTTATATGAGCATGTTTTCTCAATTTCTTAGTATTTTTGTGATCACTTAGGTGGTTGTATGAATTTTATACGTATCCAAGGAGCTAGTAATTTAAAAGATTACAAAAGAAAATTTTGTTCGATATACACAGTGTCTCAATTTATAGCTGTACAATTAAAAAACAAATGAAGTTAGGAATGTGCAGAAAAAACTACAACTTCCTCAAAATTGCAAATCAAGTGCCTCCAACGAGTTTTTAGGAGTCAATTTTAAAAAATCATGTTAACAATTTTTTTTTTAATTAATTAATTACATCGTATGCACCACACGCTACATGCACCGACTTAAATTACACCCCTAACAATGACATTTAAGAGGGCTCTATAACAAATAAGCAACCAGCAACACATTTTTATAGATTTTATTACACAGTTTGTCTAAACATGAATCAATGCACAAATAACAGACTTTCCTCCATTCTAGCGCAGATTTTCTATAAAATGGACTTGACTTGAAACTCAAATTACCTTTTAGTGCAAAGAAATTTGTAATTGACGTTGCAAATTACAAATTTCTTTACGACAAAATGTAGTTTGAGTTTCAAATTAACTCCATTTTATAAAAAAATCTGTAGATAAAAGTCTGTTATTTGTGTATTGATTCATATTTAGACAAACTATGTAATAAAATCTGTAAAAATGTGTTGCTGGTTGCCTATTTGCTATAGAGCCCTCTTAAGGTGCAAAAAGAGTAAAAATTTCTAAAAAAATATAAATTACTCAATGTGCAACATTAAATCCAGTTTTTTTTTTGTTTTTGTTCACCTAATAAATTTATTTCCAATTTAATCTGTGCCTGGCCTCATACAAAATATAGACAGGCATAGATTCGATTGAAAATTAAATTTACTCGACAGTTGGAAACAAATGACCCTAAATCAGGAAGGATTAAATAAATGAAGAACAACATAAATAAAATAAGTTTAAATGTACTGTTGTATTATAAAACCGTTTTGAAGTGTGAGAAAAAATATTTTTTTAAAATTTGCACTTGAAAGAAATCGTAGCAGGCTTTGGGTGCATAATTTTAAAGAAGTTACGTTTTTAAAAAACTTACATGGGTAGATTTAATAGAAGATATTGGAATTATTTGTTTTTTAGTTATTATGTAAATGGCATATACATTGGGACACCCTGTATTTACTTGTTCCTTCTTTTTTGTTCTTCTTTACAAAAAAAAAAAGTGAAAGAATTATTTCATTGTTTCCTTGATTTATCATCCGCAATTTTATTCATTTATGAATTAAAAAAATAAAATTATATAAAACCACTATATTGAATTGTACAAAGCATCCTATTTTCGATGTCATCTAGATTATTATTACAGTCAGAAAGTTGTGAAGCTTGCTCAATTTTTTGACAGATATCTTTAGGTCAAAACAGATCGTTAATATTTTCCATTTTTCAAATTACAGGAAAAAATATCCAAATTTCTTTTTTCCAGAAACGATAACACTATCTACCACACTTACTTTTTTAATAACTCAGACGATTTTTTACTCACAAGACAAAGTTACATTTTTTAAATGGAAACGATAGTTTGCCATAACCTAAGCCGCGTTGCACACTTGCCGGATCCGGCTGGCTCTTTCACACGTAATTTAATTTTCAAACCGGTTTGGCCGATATTAGTCTCAATTGCATTTTTATCACGACAAGAGATGAATCGTAGACGCATTGCAATTATGTGGCTTGGCTATTGCCGATGTCGCAATAAAAAAAAAACAAAAAATATGAAAAATATCCAAAAAATATGAAAAGGCTAAAGTTTTGTCCCACTTGACAGGTCCGGATTCAAGCAGTGATATAAAGAATGCTATATCTACTTCTAGCGAACAAACATTCGACATAGTTGCGTACAAATATTTAAAAAAATAATTGACACGTCCTGTTCTTTTCAATTAAACCGAATGACTGAACCCGGCAAGCACCTGGCAAAGCGTCAATACAAAACTATGCACTACTACCATTTCGGTCGCCGGATAGCCGGTACACGGCGACCGGCTACAACCCGGCGGCCATTCGCCGGATAGCTTCTTCCGTCACGTGTGAAAGCTGCCATAAGACTCTGTACACCTTGCTGCCGGGTAACCGGATCAGGTTAGCTGGTTCCGGCATGTGTGCAACGGGTGTAATTGTTAAAAAAGGTCCTTCTGTGCTTTTCCAAATTCAAAAAAGTAGATAGCCATGACTAAAAATAAATGCACTACTAAACAAAATATGATGTCATTGTTGTATGTTTACTGTTTCCCTTCATAGCCAACTACATACAGCAATAACACCACATTTTGTTTAGTAACGATTTCTCCCAAAAAATGTGGCTAACGTTGGTGGAAACCAAAACATTATATCATTAATAATAACAAAATATGATGCATTGTACATTACATAATCCATTTACTGACACCTCTTGATAAAATCACGAATTATTATTAATACTTCAAATGTGCACAGCCAATATCGTAATACATTTTTTCCTCAATACTCACATTCTTTCCGCCTACATTACATTATCAAAGGTATAAAATGTTATAATTGGTGTAGGTTAAAACTCATTAACCACCTAGTCGAAGTTACGAAACTACACAATACTATAAAACGATTGCGTAACAAAAACAAATCCATTGTGAAGTCCAAAAACTGATTATTGTAACTTTTATTTATCAAACACTTGATTGTACGGATATATAAATAACGTACATTTAAAAAAAAAGGGAAAGTGTATCTTTGGTATGGCAAAGAAGTCGCATTAAACTAACGTTTGAACAAAATGACTAGATCAGTAGGTAAAATTGTGTCTTGGAAAAATTGCGGTTGCTATTTTCTCGTCCGGGTCCGATTGGTTACGGTAGTGCCGAGTCAGGAAGAGACCTACTATCTAAAAATCGAGCTTTTATTAGAACCTGGTTAAAAAACGGAACGACTTAGCATTTGCTAACACTTTCAATAAGCAGCCTCATTAATTCAAAAGGAACACACTAACATTCATCACAGTCATCATTAATGTGAAATCCTGAAAGCATCTTTTGTTGAAACGTGTTTTTTTTTGTCTGCATGATAAATCTGACAAAAGCCACCATTGAAAGATTTTTTAAAATGGAATAAATACCGTCACAATGAAAGGTTATTCAACTCTCAAGTATTTTTAGGTGGACTTTAGACAAACTAAACGAATAGTTTAATTAAGTATTATGTTATTTATTAGTACTAAAGCAATCGTGTACTGTATTACATGCATAGTGCCTAACTTATAAGTCAATTTAGTATTAGTAAGCCTTCAAAAATGTATCCATTTCCAGATCCACTACACAAGTACAGAAATACATTCCATGCACATGTTTCGGAAATAGATACTGTAGCTAAAATAGATCGTATAAACAATTAGTTTTCGAAGAAACAAAAAAAATTCCGGGAAACATATTTAACGAGAGTGTAGCTACAATATACATTTCTGTTATTTGTAATACCTAAAAGTCCTGAGTTCGATAACAATAATTTTAATAGTGGGCTGTATCAAACAAAAATGTACGTAATTGTTGTTGTTGTTTGTGAAAACCAGCCGAATTGACACTGTTAAGACTATTGCTATGTTCAAGGTTAGAGTTAATATGTAATGAAGAAAACCCACCCATTTGCAAACAGCCGTTAAGTGACTATAGGAAAGCGCTGGGGTTGGCCCTGGGATCTTTCTGGTTACGATAACGGACAGTTAATAAGACTCCCATGAACTGAAAAAACATGCATTCCATCACCATTAGACGGCACAGTATGCTGTCGCATCGAGTATGATTTATGGAAAATCGTTCTTTATTATTTTATTCAGCACTGTTAAAAATTATATCAAAGCCTAAATTAGGGGGAATATGTCATGTTCATTTGCATTACTATTGTTCAAACATCGCTTATTTACACGAATTAAAAATAGATTTATATTTACAGTTATTATTTGCAATAAACTCGAAACATTAAATTTATCGTGTTAATAGAATGTACAAAGCTAAAAACATAGGGAAGCAAAAAATTTAAATAATTATTTCACACAAAACACTCGACGTAATAGACGTAAAATATCGACGTAAAAAAGTTAAAATTTCTCATACTGATGCTGTTAATGCTCTGTACCAATATTAAACTATAAAATTAATGACCTACCTCGGTAAAACTGAAGAATAGGCCTATCCAACCGCACAACTTGAAAGCGTAGTTTATCGTGTTTTGCAATTTATCCATACAGTTGGGACATTTGCAAGTCGTATCGGCTGGATTGGGACAACACTTTGGCTAAAAAATGAAAAAAACCTTTCACGAAATGAAAAATAGAGCATACAGCAAAATTTTTGATAGCCAAAACTAATTCTGTAACAGTAGAACGAAGGGAGAAACGGCTGGCCCAAATTTGTACATGGAAATACTGATTTCCATAATTAATTATACAAGTGTCGCTTTAAAATAATGGAAAAGAAGAAAATAGGGATAAATAATTGTTTCGAACGAACCGAATTTCTAAAAACTTACCCAAATATCATCACACGATGGAGGAGGAACTTTAGTATCGACTTTACTGTCGAACCCACAGCACCGAAACACCTCCTGCACGTTCATTCTGGTACTATTATCTACTCTTTGCCATCCTTGTTCGGCCAATTGATCCTGTTGTTCCCTGTTTACCCCCAAACAAGCACAAGCTACAGAGAATTGGATGAGGAACAGTAAAAACAGAATCACCATGTACTGCACGAGATGTTAAGGTAATAACACAAATCTTTATCCATTACGAAATTCTGATTAATAGTTTTGCCACATTGAAATTGTTTTAGAAATGCTTTTTCCATAGATATTGAAGCACCATGAAGAATTATGAAACATAAACTCTAACAATTGGTTTCACAAATTTTACGTTTGATATACCTACACAATTATTTCACATACACCTACACATACCAATATAAACTTGAATTAATTAAGTATATGAAGTAGTTCTGATCTCATTAATTATAATCCGGTACTTACCAAAAAGGAAACATAAAAGATATGAGTTAATTGAATGATAAGCTACACTTCCTGCGCTTATATTAAAAGGATACGAAAAACAGCATTACTTGATGGTGTTTCACGGCACCCAGTAGCCCCAGTACGGATATCAGTATTAAGATGATCCCACAGGCAAGGATACCCCCTACAATAGGTAGATTCGTAACAAGGGATGCTGCTCTTCCATAAACTGCAACCCCAATCAAAATAAACGCCACAATCTAAAACAGAACAAAGGTTGTGATTATTTTCTTAATAAAAAACGTATTTACTTACTATGTATAAAACATTCAATGCAATAAGAGCATTCTTGGAACACGTAAAACCTCCACACATTGTGAAATCATATAAAACTAAACTATTGTAAAAAATATCTGACAGATCCCAATCAATTCGACTGCTTGATTCATTTGGAATTTGGTTTTTTAGGTTGAAGTTGGGGTTGGATGGGACACAGGTTGGCCAATTTCAAATTACAACTTCGTAAACAAAAAACATATAATACATTCGTAAATATTATATATAACGAAAATTGTATCTAACGGAACTTCTAATCTCCGCAATATCACTATTCGCCTCCGAAATTTAAACTTTAATTTTTGTTTTAAATACATATTGAGGTATTTTCTATTGAATTTTGAACCTATTGGTATTGAATTCCGGTAGCTATTTCGAGTTCCGAGCTTCGAGCTTATTCTACTGTAGGTATGCAGGTAGCATGCCTTTGCAGTAAGTGTGGCTGAGTGTGCGAGAGAGACATACAGTGTCTCAGTAAATGCTATCTCATTCTAGTACGCACACGATTGGTTGGAAATTAATGCTCGCGTTCATTGGCTCCCACAGGGCTCCCGTCGTTGAAGCGAAGAATGAGACAGCATGTACTGAGATACTGTCTATCTCTCTCGCACACTCAGCCACACTTTTCACAATAGCATGCTACCTACAGTCTCCAGTACTATATGCTCAAAGGTTCCGAGAGAGACCATTCGAATGCAATGCTTTTTTTCGCGACTGAATATTGGTGAATATCTGGCTTGTAGTCACTATTTCTATCTCTTTTGATCTTAATTGTCATATGGTAGTTTAAATCTCTTCACTCACTCATACTACACATACCACAACATACAACTTCACTCGCGAAAAATTGCCTAATGTTTTCAATGTTACATGTTCCATGCCATGTTCTTTCTGTATGCTGTTCTATGACCTCCATGGATTCCATGTGGTAAAATTTGAACATAATCAATATTCAATATTTAAATAACATAAAATGGGAAAAGTAAAAAGCAGTGACACTTTATCGTTAAAAAAATCTGACCAGAAGAAAGTTGTTAAACAAACGAGACAGCTGAAGAAAAAAATTCAGGTAATATCTCACAAAAAGATAGATTCTAACCTAAAAATACATATGTAAAAATTGATATTTTCAGGATGGCAAAGTTCTTCTTAAGAAGCCTAGGAGATCTATTAAAGACAACGTTGAACAGACTCGAGGACTGATATACATTGGTCACATACCACACGGTTTTTATGAAAACGAAATGAAAAAATATTTCAAACAATTCGGAGGTGTGACAAATGTAAAAGTTTGTCGGTCTAACAAAAGTGGTAACAGTAAAGGATTTGGTTATGTGGAATTTGCGCATCCAGAAGTAGCAAAAATAGCAGCTGAAACCATGAACAATTATTTAATGTTCAAAAAAAGAATAGTTGGTAAGTACTTCATTTTAAAAAATGAATATTTTGTATTGTTAAATTTTCTTTGCTTTTGTTCCGTAGCTGAATATGTTCCATCTGAAAAGAGACCAAAATGTTTGTTCAAAGGTAGAAGTAGTACTATTAAGAGGTATTCTTCTAAAGTAAAAACAGAAAAGCAAAGAATAGCTACTGAAAAAGTTGACGAAAGAGGACATTTGAAAAGAAGCAGTGTAAGAATGTCTCGACTTAACAAGAAATTACAGAGATTAAAGAACGCTGGGATTGATTACAATTTTATACCGGTTGATGTACCAGAAAATATTAAGAAAGAGAAAGTATCTACATCTACCAAAGAAGTTGAATATACGTTTGAACAAGATCCTTACGATTCAGATATAGAAGTGAAGGTTCCTGTTAAATCAAGTGTAAAAACTCCAAAAAAACAGGCTTCTAAAACAACTCCTAAAAAGCAGTCTCCTAAAACAAGTTCTAAAAAGACTTCTAAAAATTCGGTTTCTAAACAGTCCCCTAAGAAGACCCTGAAGCAGAAATTGGTGACAAGGAAGAGTACATAAAAGTGACTTACTTTGTAATATTTAATATGAAATTATACCTAAGTTTAAACCAATTTGCATTTTTGAATTTTAAGTAATATCCTTTGAAAATTAACTGTTAACGAGGTTTGATCAAAAAGTTACGGGAATTATTAATTTTCTCAGAGCACTATTAGCGATTTTGCCTTTATCTCATCTATTATTGAAAAATGTCCTTTGAGTATCAGTTTGAGTTTGGGAAATAGGAAAAACTCACAGGGTTCATGTCTGGAGTATAGGGTGGTTGTGGCATCACAACGGTGTGTTTCGTCAAGAACTGTTGGAGAAGCAATGGGGTATGCGCACATCCTTCGTATACAATCATTAAATAATGTAATCTTGCTCTAACAACACTATTAACAAAGACCATCTCGCGAAAATAGCCGCGATCTTGCTATTTCTGCAATAGAACCAGGATTACGAAATATTTCCACGGCAAAATTCATTGTACGTCACTGAAGCATGTACTTGAACTTACATGCTTTGTGACTAAGACTTAGGCGATAGTTTTCATTTTTCATTTCAGAATATTTTTGGCATTGACAAATAGTGTAGCAAATATGTTACTTTTTGTAACTTTTTAAAGAATATTTAGTACATTATTACAAAGGGGAAATGCAAACGCCATTTCAAATAAAGTTTAAATTTGTAAATATTTAATAAAAAGAAATGGAGAATATTGAACTGAATAAATCAAATCCAAGTAATAACAAACCGGATTTAGAAGATGAAACGCAAACTAAAGCTACTACCAAAAGCCTTAGTAAGTCTCTGTTAAAGGAATCATCGTCAAAAAGATCTAAATTGTCTCTAAAATCCGCCAAGTCAAAATTATCGTCAAAATCGAGATCAGTGAAGAGTTCTCAGTCGAACAAGGTACTGCTGACGAAGTCCTTGGATACTGTGAAGAGTATGCTCGCTTCTAAGGAGTCATCTGTAGGAAATTTAAAAGTAAGCGAATCTCTGAGGAAGATAAGTAGAGCAACGTCCATTGGTACGTTTTTGAAGAGGAGAAAAATTAAAGGGAAGAAATCTAAAAGACGAAAGTTGCAAGAGAGTTGTCTGAAATTAGATGCGAGCACGGTGAGGAAAATAGCTAGGGAACTTATTCGGAAGAAAGGTTGTTCACTTCTGAATGCTCATCCAGACAAGACGGACAAAAAGAGGCATCGTAAGAAGAAATCTAAAGATATATAATATACTTTGTAAAAGACGTTTGATGATTATGTATTTCCAAAACATTTGGTAAAAATATAATCAAATCAAAGTAAATAATTTAATGTTAAACACTCTGGATTTTTTATCGTGTGTGGTGTTGTTTCTTGGACTGTCTCAAAATACATGGGTTTCCATAAATTTTTTAAGGTAAGTATATACACCAAAAATCCACAAAAAAAATTGAATTACATGCGTTTATTTGCATATCCATGGGATGTTCTATTTTGATGTATGCAACGGACAAGCCTTCTTCCCTTCCCTTCGAGACATCATTTATATGTATATACAGGATATTTTATTTTAAGAAGGATAAATAAATTAATAAATATTAAAATATATTTATTTCTGGGGAATTGGGTTCTGGTATGGTAGTCGGTTAAAAGAAAGGATAAAAGAAGCAGCAGCGATTTCTTTCTTGACGTTTTGTTCCTGATTAGGAACGTTTTCAAAAGGCTTTTATTGTTAAAATTGTTATATTTAATTAAAGAAAACCTAAACAACAACCATTCTCCGTCAAAAATTTTTTAAAAACTGCATCAGTAATCATACAGTGGATAAATTTTCACAATATAATAATTATATTATCCACTGTACGATGACTGATGCATAGTTCTAAAAAAAAATTTTTATGGAAAATGGTTGTTTAAGTTTTATTTACAATAAAAGCCTTTTGAAAAAGTTCCTGGTCAGGAACGAAACATCAAGAAAAAATCTCTGCTGTTTCCTTTATCCCTTTTTTTAATTGACTATCACACCAAAACCTAATTCCCAAGAAAATAAATATATTTTAAAATTAAACAAAAGGTTCAAGAAGATTTCCAAGTTATAAATGAATAAATATATTGTTAGTATGGAAACATATACCATTTGAGACATCCTTCGGACATCCTCTACATATCGTTTACCACAGACATGCAAAAAGCAACCAAAATTTAAAAATTGTACAAGAGGATGCAGCACTATAATTGAATCGGTTATTTTAAAAAGGGGTCTTGTAGAGTTGCTATGAGTTTTTTTTTCTATTAGGAAGCATTCTGGCTGATACACTAATGGGGTTTTTGATATTTTTCAATCGTTCTGATGCACAGGAAAATTTTTCATAGTGGAGATGGCCCGTTTTCAAGATGAACTTGGGTTTTCAATAGCAAAACAAATTTATTTTTCAAAAAATGTTTATTTGCAATATTTGAAAAGCTTCCGAAATGCATAATTTATATCAAATAAATGCTTGGTTTCGTCTCATCTACAACGCCCTAAAACGATTCAATGACAATTCAAATCGATCCCTTCACCCCCAGACTATCCTAATATTTTGGATTTATATGTTGTTAATTTTTAATGCTTTTACCTATAGTCCTTCACAGTCCTGTGCTCATTAATAAAAATCATTTTTCCTATTAATATAAATAAAACAATATATAATTAAAAAATTGGCGACTGGTAAAATATAGGAAATTATATTAATTATGCAGCCAAGTATACAATAGTATGTATTGTGTGTTGCCTACCGAACATAAACTTAAATGGAATTATAAAAAAAATGGAAAATCTCAATAACTAATGGGACTAGAGAGGAACGAAATGAAGTTTTGGATTAGTCAGGGCCGTTATAGTTCACCGGAATTTTTTCAGATTTTTCTGAACCCTAAAAATTATTGGAAAAATCGATGGTTCACGAAAATTTTCAAAAAATTAAAGTGCCTTTTTGGAGGTGGTTCCGTATGCATCTGGGGTCGCTACCACACGCTATGATGGTCGGTTTTTGTGCAAGTGCGTGGATTAATTAAATTTCACGATGATTAAAACTTTTTGAGAAAATTATTAAAGAACTATAGTATTCATTTAACGACGGTACCCTAAGCAACGGGGGTCGCTGGTTATGTTGTTACGATGGTTTGATTTTGTGCAAATGCTTCTTCCGTTGAGAAATAAAATTGAAAATCTCAAAAACTAGGAGAGCTAGAGAGGAACTATAACAGCATTTTTGGATTGATCTGGTCCGTTACAACTTACCAGAATATTTTCAAATTTTTGACAAAAGTCGATGAATGTTCCTGGAAATTAAAAAATGAGCACAAACTCAAAATTTTAATAATAAAAATTGATTTGGTATTATTAATTTGTCATTTTTTTCTCAGTTTAATCGAACATTTTCCCAACAAATTTTAATAGTTCAAGATACTGTACCATCTATTTGCTAAATGTTCAATTACATTAAAAGTGAATATCAAACATTTTTTATGTGTATCCAAAAAAAATACCTACTGTCTCTTTTGCTATAACATATTTGTTTACTAGTGACGATTTTTTTTAATGTCATTGCCGATAATGATAATAATTTAAACATAAATCTTTATTTTATAAAAGTAAATGCAAATATATTATTTTATGTTCCTTACAAATAGTGATACGATTAGTCAATTTTCGATTATAACAACCTAAATCTAACTCTTCCTTTTCGATAATTTCGTTTTCGAACTTCTTTCACCTCCTTTGGTTCGCTTCCACTTCATTCTCCTGTTTTGAAACCAAACCTTCACCTGAAATACGATCAGAACATTTTCAGTGCCACACTTTACAAAGCTATGTCAAAATTGAGCGGACTCAATTTAATTTTTGCACATTTTTCATGAAGTCTATAACAAAGTTATAGAACTACGAAAGTTTATTTGATGACACAGATATGAAGTTTTTGGGCACAATTTTATATATGTATTTAAGTAAATTAAAGGAAAATACTCACTTGGCGTTCCGTTAAGTCCAGTGCGACGGCTATTTCGTATCTTCGGAGACGAGTTAAGTAATTAGAATGTGAAAATTCTTTCTCTAGCTCTCTTATCTGATTTTTTGTGAAGGCCGTCCTCTCTTTTCTCGGTTTCGTGCCAAATTCTGATGCGTGTTTCACATCTGAAATTAAATCAGCTCGTAAAACTATGCCCTAGGAATTATCTACTTAAATATAAAAGCAATAAAATATAAAAAAATATACATTTATTTAAAAAAATTTAATATTGCCCAACCATATGTCAATCAATAACTTTTAAATGTTATTGTTTTGGAATTACTTGATTAATCATGACTTTTTTGAAAATTATCGTATTTTCAATAGCACACCCTAAATTTTTGTATGGGTTTTTTCAGAAGAAATAAAAAATGTAAGATATAAACCACTCTCTTAAATCTGTGAATGTACTTTACTAACGTCAGTGTATCCAATTTTGAACACACTCTATAACCACTGAATGTGGAACAAACAACCTCGGATATTTGTATGAATGAGGAGCAAAAGCGAAATGTCTTTGCGACACAGTGCTGAAATGCTGAAACTTGAACTTTATGGAAACACGAATTCGTCGCTGATATCATCAAAAGCACCGCCAACGAGTGGGTAACAACATGAGCTAGTTTTCTAAATTACGTGAAACTTATCAAATAGTTGGCCTCATTCGATTGCAGAAATAATGCCGCATTTCAACATATTAAAAACCGCAGATGGTAACTAGTCGCAGTGGGTGTGAGATAATCACCATAAATATAGAGATTTTGAATTGCCAAAAGTAAGGCTGTCAAATAAAGTCAGCGAATTTGCAAATTTACTTATGTCTTTATAAAACTGAGGATCGGCACTAAGACTTTGCAATAGTTCTTTTGTTCTTTTCCTATCGTCATCACTGATAAGTTGTTTAAGCGCTCTTGCGTCATCGTATTTCAATAGCTGTTTTACATTGACAATTTATTGATCAATTAATTCATGAAGTCGCTTCATCAAGAAATTGAACAAGTGTAATGCACCAAATCTGCTGTCAAATAACTTCATGAATTTATTCATCAAGTTCTTGACGAATTAGAACATGTTCTAATTTTCGTCAATTTCTTTGAAGTTCAGAAGTACCAACCCAACAGATTTCCAGCCTCAGATCAGTAATGAGGTTATGTTATTGGAATACCTAAATAATTGTGTGGCGTCGTACTAGTTTTGCATTGTTTTTACTGATTTGTTACTTACAAAAACTAATATTTATATAATATGTGTCAGAACGGTACCGCTGTTGTATCACTACAATTATGAGTGGAAAGGTGACATTTTTGAAATTTATTTGCTTCTTTGATTCATTGGTAGAACTGA